CGACAAAAGAACTAACTTTATTTTTGCTGGTCTGGCTATACCAGACGTGTCCGGTATGCATACCGGATGTGTCCGGTATTTGCCCAGTAACTGTAAAAGTGTTGTTCTCGGGTTGGTTCGTCGGGAGTTCCGACGTATGTTGGGAGTTTCGGCAATGGTTGGGAGTTCCGACGTCTCACAATTTAAATAATTTGGAGAGTTCACTGTCCAGGTCATACCGGACGTGTCCGGTATGGACGACCAGAGGCCAACGGCTGGTTTTCCAAAGCCTTGAGGGTCGGGAGTTCCGACGTAAGTCGGGAGTTCCGACGGTCGGAAGTTCCGGCATGTGTCGGGAGTTCCGGCACCTCATATTCTTTAACTCGTTACATGGTTTTCAAATTTCATCGAGGATCGGGAGTTCCGACGTGAGTCGGGAGTTCCGTGATCGGAGTTCCGGCATTCTTGGGAGTTCGACGCGCTCACAACTTCATCAGTAACTTAGTTACCGTTGGGGCAGTGTAAGTCATACCGGACGTGTCCGGTATTGCAACGGCTATAAAACGGCTAGTTTTTCAAGGGGGCTTTAAATACCCCCAAGCCTCCACCTTTGGAGGCCGCTGATTCTGCTGATATACACATACGTTTTTGAGCCTTGCCTAGTCTCCTAAACCCTCTCTTAGTGAGTGTGTGATCCAAATTGCAAAATCAATTTGTGGGTTAAGAGAGAATTTGAAAAAGAGAGCAAGCCACCACTTGAGCACTTGTGCATATTGTCAATCTCGTGATTTGCATTTGTTACTCTTGGACTCTTCGGTCCTAGACGGCTAGGCATCGCCGGAGAGCAACCGAGAGATTGTGGTTGCTTCGGAAAGTTTGTAACGGTCCATTCCGCCACCTCGGAATCATTTAGTGGAAGTTGGAAAAGGAGTTGGAAAAGACTCCGGCTAGAGTGACCTTCGTGGTACCCTTTAGGGCTGACCTTCGCTGGGTCGCCCGCAGCCCCCTCAACGGAGAGTAGGACTTGGACGAGTCCGAACTTCGATAAAACAAATATCATGTCTCAATTCGCATTTCATTTGATATTTGTGTTGCTCTAGCTATTCTGCAGGTTCTCTGTGTATATTGTCATCTCCATTAGGTGCCTGCAGTTTGGTTTGAAGATAGAAATCGAAAGGAGCAAGTTCGGGGCCGATCTACAGAAATCGTGTATACCGGACACGTCCGGTATTCATACCGGACACGTCCCAGTATTTCCTACCGCACCTCGAAAATATTTATTCTCTGTTCTAACTTGGTGTTGCAGGGTTGTAACTTCTAGATATATTCTTTATACCTTGTTTACTCTGTGGCTAACTTGTGAGGGGTGGTAGTACTCTTAATTTGGAGTTTCCATTTTGGAAACTCCCCTTTCTAATTGTTTCCGCATTCAAAGGTGTTAATTTTCAGAAACGCCTATTCACCCCCCTCTAGGCGACATCCTAGGTCCTTTCAAAGTCGCAGACTCGTAGGCTGGCAGTGGCAGTGCTCCTACCCCCTTTTTTCAGAAAAATGTCTTTTTGTTTCTTTTCTTGAGACGATGGTCTAAAAACTTGAGTAATCCCATTTGACATCAACATTTTAGGCCTCATTTGAAATGCAGGATTCTCCAAACACAAGAATATGAAAAACACAAGATTGAAGTCACACAAAACTTATAATTCTGCAAGAATCTATAGTGTAGGAAATTTTCTAATATAGCCTTTAAATGAAACACAAGAAAAATATAGGAATCGGAATAGAGAGATGGACAGTTATACACAAAGCAAAGGTTTCCATAAGATCCAACCTCGTATTAGTTTTTCTCCAAAATTTCTATGTTTTCATGCATCCCCCGACAATCCTAAAGAAAAATATAGGAATTGGATCAGAGAGATAGATATACACAAACAAAGTTTCCATAAGATCCAACCTCGTATTAGTTTTCATAAGATCCAACCTCATATTAGTTTTTCTCCAAAATTCAATCTTTTGTTCCAAAGAGGTGTATAAAAAACTTTCCTATAGAATTGAAGTCCTCTGAATTCCTATGTTTTTCCTATGTTCCAAGAGACAAATCTAGGTGTACCATTGCTGATTTGTTGTGAGTTGTAACTATAGGTATGCTTTGAGATGGATACAATCTTTTCAAATCATCCCTTCGTCGCCGAAATGTCTCTTCATTCATCTCTTCTCTAGTAAGAATTGTCTCTTCATTCATCTCTTCAGGTTAACAATTGTCAAAGTAGCAAAAGGGCATGTAGCCTAGTGGTTACAAGAGTCTTAATAGCACCTTAGATCCCCCGTGGGAGCGAACTTTGAAGGATTTGATGGTGTTGTGCTCACACTCACCACCGGCAAGCGTGACTGTGTGATTTAGAGAAATACAAAACCCTAGGGGGGTTGGTAATGACAATACTCTGGGCCAGCGTGATCATCTTTATGGGATCCCAGCCCAGCGTGTGACAGTCCATATGTGAAATCCTTTACCATACATAAATTTTCTGTTGTTTTTCACCTTTCTGATCTGATAAGCCTACAACGAGAAGCCAGCCCACACATACAAACACCACGCATAGAAAATTTTGACCGACAAGGAACAAGAGAAACAGTCGACAGATGGTTAGAAATCTCGTTTATTATTGCAGATAAAACTTACTCTTTTTTAACTTTTTTGTTAACAATCTCTCATTTCTTTTTTAGATTTTCAGTGGAGGAGCCTTTGTAAGGCACTGCCTGCTTATATGGTCATCTAGTCATTTGCTTCATCCAATTCATCATCAATGTGGTTCTATTGCTATTCTACTTATATGGTGGCAGATATGTGCACAAACATAACGAAGCTGAAACCCAATCTGAAATACTGAAGCTGAGGGTTACTACCATGTGTAAATATGTGCTAGGAGATTTATATACGAGTTACTACTATATAATACTAAAGCTGCTACACCAAAAATATACTAAAGTTTTTACAGATCTGTTACTCTGCCGCCACTTTCCCTTTTCCGCCTGTAAGTTTTTTTTTTGAATTGCTATAATTTTTGAATGGTGTATCCGTTTTCAATTCTACCTGCACTGGTGTGTTCTGCGTGACAAGACGAACACAATTAGACAACACTTGTCTATGTTTCAAAGAATTTTATTTTAGTAGCAATTTATGTGTAAATATGTGCTAGCAGATTTACCGAAGGAGTTACTACCATGTAATACTAAAGTTGTTACTGAAAAATATACTGAAGTTGTTACAAAGTATGCACATCGATTGTTACCGTGACAATATAATACAATTGTTATATGGTATTTACATGAAGGCACTAACCCCTAAAAAGAGTAATAAGCCAAAAAAAACAAGCTGCAATCTGAAGGGCCAAATTATTAAAACAAACATTGCATAAGTTGCCAACTAGGGGACAAATTATTATAAACACATTGCAAAAGCTAGGAAATATGACTTGTTGCCAACCGAGGACATTTATTATAAAAGCTAGCAAATGAAACTGAAATTAATAAAAAAATTGAACTGAAATTGACAAATAGAATTAAAAACTAAAATAGACACAATGAAAAACAAAAAAGGAAACATATAACTAAAAACTAAAATAGGCATTCGAACATGAAACGGAAACCAAACCACTGAAATAGCTACCAGAAACTAAAACTGAAATTGACAACCAGAAAATATAACTGAATTGATAAATAGTAATTGAAAACTAAATTAGACACATTTAAAAATGAAACATAACACTGAAAAAAGAAGACACAATAAAAAATAACTAAAATTGAGAAATAGAAACTGAAAATAAAACTAAAACTGAAATTACCAGAAAATGAAACTGAAATAGAAAATCTAGAACTGAAATTATCATAAACTAAATCTGAAATTGACAACCAAAAAAATAAACTAACATGGACAAATAGAAAATAAAAACTAAAGTAGACAAAATGGAAAAAAAATTAAAATATCACTGAAACTGAAATTACAGCAACCACAAAAATTCACTGAAATTAACAAATAAAAATGAAATCTAAAGTAGACAAAATAAAAAATGAAAGGGACCTCCCTGCCGTTCTCAGGGAAGGAGAGAACTTTATCGGGACTAGGCTGTCAAAAAAGTACACCGTGCGAACAAGCATGGTGTTAGTAGGGAGAGTGAGGGTCTATTGGGCAGTATCGCGGCCTAGTGTCCCGCGAACAAGTCGGAGCGCGACCAATCGCGAGTTAGACTTTGCGTATGAACTGTACCTAAACCAAACTATATGTGGACACACTTGTACATACATATAGAACTTGGTTTCAAAAAAAATACATATCGAACTTTGATTTATGGTAACATATTATGTTGCCCAGCATAGCAACAGATGGGCAAATTGTGTAGTAAAAATATAGAACACGCTAGTGGTCCTGTTCGTTTCTCTTATAATCCGTACTTTTTAGATTGTTTTTTCAGCCAGTGTTTCGATTTGTTTTTTCAGCGAAGCGAAAAGAACATTATAACCGAGCCTAACGTATTTCTATAGTTTTCATCATCTCCATTTCTCCATGGCCGGACGTAGTTTCAGAGTGGCAGCATTGATGGGCCCACGTGATGTAGCAGGCCGGCCGGTCCGGCGTCCGCATGTGTGGTCGCGCGGTCGATGTGAGCGACCAATCGCGCGTTAGAATTTGCGAAAAAAAGTACACGTACCCGCATATAGTAACTGGGTTGAACGAGGAGCCAGCCTACAACGAGAAGCCAGCCCCCCACACATACAAACACCACGCACCGAAAAAATCGACCGACGAGGAACAGGAGAAACAGTCGACAGATGGTTAGAAATCTCGTATTTTAAAATAAATTTTATTGCTCTTGTTCATAGCAGAAATTCAGTAACACTAGAGACAGGAGCAATTTTTTTTAGGAATGTTAATATAGCACTCGCATAACTTCACAATGTCCTGGCTTACCAAGAGCAAGGTACGCTACTTCTTGTTGCAAGGATCCCACGGACGGAATGATACAGAGCTACATAACTACATTGCTGTAGCCACATTTCACGCAATCATTGTACATGTTCCAATCCCGCCCCCAGGGAGGTCTGGATTCTGAAACATTATTACAAATACAGCAAGTTACAGGGTTCAGGCATGGGGCACAATCGTCCTGAACGAGGAGCAACTCAAGTTACAGGGAAAGTGGGACGGGGCCACAAATCACTTACAACAATTAAGTACACCCCTGAGAACGAGTACAGAGAAGTTCATTGTTCGGAATTCAGACCAAGTTGTTTATGTTAAACATCTACACTCCCTCTGGTCATAACTTGACACATTTGATTTTGCAAGGCCTTCAATGATATTTTTTACCACTATTTTTTCGTAACAATATATTCTTAAAATCGTTCAGATACAAGAGATTTTGCAGGTATTTTGAATGCAGATCGACACATAGACCTACATGGTTCCAAAGTAAATAATATACTCCCTTTATCCCAAATTATAAGTCATTCTGACTTTTCAAAATACATATCTTTTACTATGTAACTGGACATAATTTATATCTAGATATGTAACAAAAGTTATGTATCTAGAAAAGCTAGAACGACTTACAATTTGAAACGGAAGGAATAGATATTTGTAGTTTTTAAGGTTTGACCATATCTGTCCTAAATGACAAGTTTCTGTGACCAAGGGGGAGTACATAGTTAGTTTCCCTAGCCAACAAAGTTCAGAACAGCAGATGGACCTCGCGTTTAAAGAGGATAACATGCAGGTCCCTCCATCCCATCTCTGATTCTCCATCATCCCCGGATGCTCTAATGTTTGCAAATGAGCACCGATCTATCGTGTTTGTATATTACTACTGCTCAGCTAACCTGTAGAAAGCATAATTTCGTTGGTGAGTTTGGTTTCCTTCCAACAAAACTAGGTATATCACAATGCATCAATACAGAATTGTTGCACAATTCTCGCAGCAGCTTTTAACAAGTTCATAAAACAAAGGCTGCTACTGAAAATGGAACAAGCTGTAAGCTTACTAGTCCTAAACATATAGGGCCTGTTTGGTAGGCTGCACTAGGAAGGCCTATGGGGGGGCAGACTGGCCAGGCCAGATCTGGACAAGCTGAGGAGGTGCAACCACCTGTGTTTGGTTGAGGTGTTTCACGTTCATCATAGAGCTTGGTTCACTGCAGCCCATGTTTGTTTGGCTACACGAGCTGTGGGCCATAGCTCAAACGCATCAGCTGAGCGGCCCTTTTTGACCCAACTGATGCGAGCGCGAGCCAAGCCTGGAGAAACAAACTTCATTTCCGTTTCCCTGGGTGCAGGCTTTTGGCTGGTTTAAGTAGTGCCAGCCTGGCCCTGGAGGCTCTCGAGCCTACCAGACACGAGAAGCTTAAGCCAGTCAGCCAGGCCCAGCGCTCGTGCAGCCTACCAAACAGGCCCTTAGTAGATAGAACAGACATGCTAGTCAACACAACAAGTCTAATACAAAAGTACTCAAGTTTATAATGTTTAGGTGCAAAGATATCTGAAAAGGCAATGAAAGTTTTGAACCCATACCCTTTCTAAGTTTTAATCATTTCTACAGCTCTGAATTATGGCAAATGACTAGAGACATTGAAGGGAAACACAGGGACCAAAGTTTACTTACGTTTCAAAATATGCTGTCTCCTGCGTGTTCTAGTGCGACGCCGAGCAATGCAGAAAGCAAAAATGCATACAAGAAGGCCCAGCTCAAAAACTAGGGCCATTCTTAATCCTGCATTCATGTAAAAATTGAAACCACATCAAGGACGCAAATTGTATTCCTGTAACAGTAACAAGTAAATCTTACATAGTAATGGCCAATACCTCTTATCTTCTGGACAAGGTCTTTGCTGTTGTTGTTCTTAATGTGGTCTTCCATAGCAATTGCATGTTTACCCATAAACTCGTTAGTAGTAGCATCTAAATGTGTTACTGAGAGGTCGCTGCCACCATCAGCAGCCTCAGCAATATCCTTTATATTTCTACACGTGTTCTGGCAATGGATGCCACTTTCGTACTCATCACTTCCATCACAACAATCTATAGAACATACACAATCTGTCAAGAGTTCTGATATCCACAAAGGAATAAATGCAGTGAATAGAAACTAGCTGCAGATGTTAGAAAAGACAGCTCAAAAGTAGTAAGGAAAAGTGGAAAAAAAACTTCCAAACTCTTGCAGTTAACTTCTTTAGTCTATAAACAAGTAGCATACCGCATATTTTGTCATTCACAAACGAAGAGAACAACAGTCGAGGGGTATCTCCGATATTTCTGCAGTAAAACTTGCCTTCTGGACAAGCTGAAGTACCTACATAAAACAAATAATGTGAAAAATAGAATTACAATGGAGGATACCTTACACATTGATATTAGCACCCATACAAGAAATGGCCACATTTCAGCAGTAGAATTTCATCAGGCGAGGCAGCAAGGATTTCACAGATATGAAGGCTACAACATACTGCATATTCAAATCTGGTATATCCATGTTTTCATTTGGCTAAATGTGACATAGTCAAGTGCACACAGGTACATCTGGTCAGTAGTTTAGGCTCTGCTTAACAGTTCTCTGATCTCTGCTCACATGAGTTAACCTATTCCCAAGATTGTAGCTCTATAGCAAAGGTCACATAGTTCGTTTGCTGAATTCGGAAAACTCTAGCAGCAACAGCATCATCAATCAACAAGAGAAAGATTTACATGAATTCTAATGCCCAGTGCATTGTTAATTTATTGCCACCAGAACCAGATCTCACAGCAATGGGCGAAATCGTCCAGATCTTCCACAGTTCAACTCTCAATCCCCGGTCAAGTTCGGACAAATTCAGGAGAGATGGAGACAGAGACCTGGCTCATCGGTTCCATCGACGCAGTCGCAGTACCCGTCGTTGAGCAGGCTCCTCGGGAAGGAGCCCGAGCCGTCTCTGCAGGCGATCACCTGCGTCGCGAAGTACGCCTCATCTGGGGGAAACGGCTCAGTGAGCAAATCAAGAAACGAGGTGCGGAGGTAGGCGCGTGAGCGAGCGTCCCGTTCACCTTGGGGGGAAACGCCTATGAGCGGCGGCGCGGCGTCGGCGGCGCCGGCAAGGAGGAGGAGGCGGAGAAGGAGAGTGGCGGGAGCAGAGGAGACGACGCGACGACTCGGTCGTGGGGTCCACATCTGCCGTCGATGTGAATCTCCGTCCCCGATTCGTCACTCCGGATCACAAGGAGTTCAAGTTGAAAGCCTCTGCGAACTGGGTGGACGTCAGGATGATCTCACGCGTCCGTTTTAGACCAAGAATTAACATCCCGTTTTCCGTAAATATTTAGCCTCAAAAATTAGAATTAGTCTTGAGTTCAAAAACAATTAGAATTAGTTTTGGCTAGCTCCAAATACAGATGGTTGGATGGTTAAGAATTTGGAACTAGAATTGTACCTTAATACCAAACATTATTCACTACAGTTGCAACCCTTCATCTTCGATACCGAAACATTCCCTTGGTATTGCTCAGCATTCAACAGCCGCCCTGATGCTCCTTTGCTCAGACACGCCTCCATCGCCGACGCGCCCCCTTGAAGCGCACCGTCACCCCCGACATTCCTTTGTCCCGCATCTACCCTCGACGTTGCTCCACCACCACCAATGCAACGCCCCGTTCTTTCTCACCACCACGAATGCAACGCCTCTTCTTCCTCATGTCCGGCACCCCTCCCAAATTACAATATCCAATCCAAACAGATTTTATATTGTGCCCAATTTTAATACCAATGTTGATTTGGTACCCGATTCAATTTCAACACCTCCAATATTCACATCCAAACAAACCTAGGAAATTTCGCTCATTTTTTAGCAACTTGTCTCTTACCATGTGTTTAGCTACGGAGACTATAAAATAGGGGACATATTGATCTCCTTTTACTTGGTGTTTAGTTTGGGGTGTACGAGGACATGACGGTCTCTAGAGGGAATTATTTTCTTCAAATGAGGGATGCCTTTCACTTGTGCATTGGGTTGACTCGTGCAACAGAGGCATCCCTCAAGTAGAATGTCACATACTCAAAAATAAAGGGATGAGTATATTCCATCCCATCTCATCACAAGCCAAAAGCACATGCTTAATTTCTCGCTCATAACTTTCTCTCTATGTCGAGGTCCGGGAGATCATAATGTTGTTTCAGGGTATCCAAGGTACACATTTGCAGGATGGTCTTATATGGAACATGTATGCGCACTTTTGAAATGGAAGACGCCAAATTTAGCTTTATATCTTTCATTGCCGGTTGATGATTGCTAATAGTGTGTTTGGCTTGGTTTCTTCCTAACTGCTCTGGCCCACATCTAGAATGCAAGCCTCCATTGACAAAAGCTCAGGTGATGCAAAGGCATGGTTGTTCATATGCCGACGGTTAGAGCGTATGCGCACCCTGTTCGCTTGATCGTATCAGCCATGATATAGTGTTTTTCTCTCATAACAAAACAACATCAGCCGACTTATAAGCCACAGAAACGATCAAGCGAACAGGGTGGGAATTGGCTGTTTGGTCTCCAAGTGGGGATGCAAGGTCAAAAAAAATGGAAGCACAGATATTTGATTGACTGCAAACAACAAAATATAAAATGGACAATTAGAGGAATGATGTATCTAAGGCCCTCCATATTGTGCGCTTTGAGTGGTGCTAAGAGAAGAGGGAGACGGTTGCATCGGTGTACGTAGTTGCATCGGTGTCAACTAATGCCTAGGAAATAAAATAATATTTCGTCGACCATCAGTTCACCTTAGCCGTCTCACATCTCACCTATGCGCGCGTGTGGCTTGTTGCTTCCATTTTTTCCCTCTTACTTGGTGGGCCCCTGCGGTTTGTGAAGAGCGATGCAAAAAGTTAGATGTAGGACCTTTTTTTTCTTAGCACTAGTGCTGTACTCCCTCCGTATAGGATTTAGAAGTCGTTCTAGCGCAGAAGCAAAGTTGAGGAAATGAAGTCGAAGCAAAGTTTTGGACGACGCTGCCCCTGCATGCGCTCGCTCCGGCTCCCGCGCCGCGCTCGGGCTCCCGCGCCACGTTAATATCTGCTCGCTGCTCGCGCTCATCCGCTCGCCGCTGGCCTGTGACGCTCGCTGCTGGCCTCTCGCGCTCGCCGCTCATCAGCTCTCGCCTCCCACTCTCGTCGTTCCAAACCATGGAGTTCAAGCCGGAGCTCGTCGCGCCGGAGTCGGAGGAGGTCGTCGCGCCGGAGTCGCAGGAGCGGGAGGAGGTTGCCGCGCCGGACTCGGAGATGGAGGTGGTGCCGGACTCACAGATGGTGCCGAACTCCATCACGCCGGAGTTGCAGGAGCTCGCGCCGGACTCGGAGATGGTGCCGGATTCCTTGCCGCCAAACAGTGCCATGCAAAATCAAGCCACAACAAAAAATATATCGTCCGCCTAGTTTCGAACTCAGCTCGCTAGCCTCACTCCTCCATGCACTAGCCATCTCAGCTGCATAAGTTTCTCGTATGGAATACACCCGCAAACGTATTTAATAAGGGCAGACAGGGAAAAATACCTCCTAATTAATCACTCATTGGTAAGCACAATCATGTTCTAAACGACCTCTAAATCCTATACGGAGGGAATACTATACATCACAGTGGAGGGCAGTTATACGGTAATACCCACTTCCGCTCATCATGTTTGTGTACTTCCTGTGTTTTAAACTCAGAAAGGAAAAAAAAGGCAGGAGAAAGTTAAACACAGCAAACTAGGCGGTCGGATTAAGATCGTGGAGGTTACTTGGAAGAAAATGGCATTTTGTTCTAGGCACGTTTCCCTTAATTATTAGCTAGAAAATTGAAGTTTTACGTCGGCTAGACATTGCAACATTTATGTGCAAGTTAAGTTGATCGATTGATTATTCTAGCATTCAAACGGGGGACTAGGAATTCCAGATCAGTCGAATCGGAGCAGACATGCCTTCAATACCTCTATAGCAAAAAACCATGAACACATTCAGCAAGACCTTTGTTCGAGTTTGTAAGCGCCCTGCGCAAAACCAAATGTACCTTGATTTATCAGGCCCTGGGATGAATGAAAATGGCCAGGTGGGGGATTCTCTCCCCTTCGGTCGACTTATAAAAAAAAACATTCAACAAAGCGCAGGGATGTGTATGTACACGCCAGGCGCATGGCCCCATGCCCCTGGACCAAGCGATAGATTCAGGTAAAAGATGTCTAGAAGCGCATATTGAAAAAGGGGCATGCGAAGCCTGCCTGGCCATTGGAGAACAGCTCGAGTTCCATGCTGACATCGACTCCTTCTACGCCATTGGAAGGTTCCACGGGGCCAGTGACCGTTCCATTTCCATGCCTGGCCCTTCTTTCTCGTGGTTCGACACTCGTGTCGTCCACGATGCAGCTGGCCCAGGTTAGAGATTGCTAAAAGATCCTTTCACAGGCCAATTTGGATTGGCTACAGAATCCCAGCAGGACCTCAGTCCCTTACGCAGTTTGGTTATCGTAAACAAAATGGTGATTAAAAAATTAGTATGAGTAAATAACTTTGTATTTTGAGCTATTGGCACCGGCCACTCGGCCAGCTACGGAGTGGGGCACGGCCGGACAGGCAGCTCGCAGTGACGGTAGATCTATGAGTGACGTGTATCCCTCATCGCCGACAGGAAGATGGATGCTTTTTTGTCAGAAGCTTTTGACAGTGCATGGAGCAGCCTTTCTTGCTTTCTATGCTCTCGAAGCAACTACCGCCTTGTTCACTTTGCAAATTTTTGCAACCTGATAAATAGTACCACTTTCGTCTTATTTGGCAAATATTGTCCAATCGTGGACCAACTAGGCTCAAAAGATTCATCTCGTAATTTTCAACTAAACTATATAATTAGTTATTTTTTTATCTATATTTAATACTCCATGCAAACAGCTAAAAATTGATGTGACGAAAAAAAATTGAAAAAACTTGGAATTTAGATGGCATCTAAACAAGCCTGCTTTTCCTCCCCCAACGCGTTTTTCACCGGTGGCTTCTGTTTTTTTTTTCAGTTGAGATTACCGGCTCCTCCACAAGAGACTATGAACAACTGCGAGACCACCACTCTTGGGCCTCGTTTAGTTGCCCGATTCGGCGCCGACAAAAACACTGTAGCTAAACTGTAAGTGGCGTTTTGTTTTTATTTGGTAATAATTGTTTAATCGTTGACTAATTAGGCTTAAAACGTTCGTCTCGCAAAATACAACTAAACTGTGCAATTAATTTTTGATTTCATCAACATTTCGTACTCCATGCATGTACCGTAAGTTTGATGTGACGAGAAATCTTCTTTTTACATAATGTCAAAGTTTAGAATTGGGGGAACTAAACACCCCCTCGTTGACATGGAGCCTAGACGTCTGCATGGATGCTGGGGCAGTACGCCACCGTGTTGCATCGAGGAAGCCCTAAGAGAATGTAACGACATATTTGTTCAGATGCATAGCCGTCAGAAATACGTAATTTTAGAATGGATGAAAGTACTAGCACTGTGTGGCCTGGACAAACATCTTCTTGTATTCCTGAGCTCTTGCTCAACAAATCATAATTACTTTGGTTGTTAACTAACAAAGCTCTCTCTAAAAGAACCTAAATGTTGTAATTACTCCAGTGGTTAATTAACAGATCTCGCTAATTCAGAGCTTGACGGCGAGTTTAGGGCGCGTTTAGTTGGCAAAAATTTTTGGGTTTGGCTACTGTAGCACTTTCGTTTGTATTTGCCAATTAGTGTCTAATTATGAACTAATTAGGTTCGAAAGTTTCGTCTCGCGATTTCTCACCCAACTGTGCAATTAGTTTTTTTTTCGTCTACATTTAGTATTCTATGCATGTGCCGCAAGATTCGATATGACATCTTGGGATGAAAATTTTTGAGAACTAAACAGTGCCTTAGTCACATAAGATCAAGGGTGAGGACTGAGGAGACGTGGCCAAACTGGCCACAACTCTACGACTGCGACATCAACGCCTTTTGTCAGAGCATCTTCCATTACGATGATTTTGGTTGGCCTCCGAATTGAGACGCCTCTGGCGCACCCAGTGTCCACGTTCCGTCAATTGCCACGAGAAAAATTAACAACTGAACGACCGAACGCATGATGAGCCGACTAGGCAAACCACCATTTAAGCCGCCCCCCTGTGGCTATAACAACTTGAAAAGAGCGATTAACCACGCATCGACAACCGGAGGACGCAAGCGCACGAGAGATGGTTGCCAATTCACATTCTGCGTGCTTTATATACTAATCACATGTCATCAGCCCTCACCATGAAATTCCTCCAGTTTGCACCAACTCAAATAGCGCAGCCACTGCACATCTTCCTCCTCCCCGAGGCACTCTCTCTCCACCACAGGTCAACAAGAAGGCACACTCTCGTGCGTGTCGTCTCATGCCCTTGCCACACCACACGAGCAGGTCTGCCGGTACGGTGTGCGTAAGACATGAACACGTACATGTCTCTCTCCTTGGAGCGCAGCAGCAGCAGCAGCGTGGTCCGCGACGTCGCCACGCCCGCGCCTCTGGCCAGTGGTGCCAGTGCCTCGTCGTATCCACGCGCGGGCGCGGGTGCGGGCATGGGCACGTCGCTCTCCCTGGCCAGCGCCGTGGCGGCGGCGCACGGGCACGGCCAGTACCTGCCCCTCAACGAGGACGACTCCCTGGACATGGTCCTCTTCGACGTGCTCCGCGAGGCATCTGGCTCGGCTGCGGCGCCCGCCACCTACCAGCCGCCGGCCTCGTCGTTGCCTACGCTGAAGAAGGCGCTCGCTTCCGGCGCTGCCGCGCGCAAGGGCGGCGGCGTCGGTGGCAACAGCAGCAGCAGCAGGGCCGCGCACGCACCGAAGGCGGCCACAACGGGGCGGCACTACCGCGGGGTGAGGCGGCGGCCGTGGGGCAAGTACGCCGCGGAGATCCGTGACCCCGCGCGGCACGGGGCGCGGCTATGGCTCGGCACCTTCGCCACGGCCGAGGAGGCCGCCGCGGCGTACGACCGCGCCGCGTTCCGCATGCGGGGCGCCAAGGCGCTGCTCAACTTCCCGCCGGCGGTCGCGGGCTGCGGGAACGCCGGCGCCGCAACTGCCACGGCGGAGCAGGCTGCTGGGGTGACGGAAACCAAGTGAACGGCGAATGCGATCTCAAAGGAAACGGGTCATTGGCAGCTGATGACCCACTGATAGTGAATGTTCTATGCATTAGTCAGTCCGATGACCCCCCTGATAGTGAATGTTAGATCTATGCATGCATTAGTCAGTCCGTTGACCAGAGTGGCATGGTAGCGATCGCTCTGCTCGTTGTATGTAAGGACATGCCGTGAACTGTGACGGGTTGAATTTGAGGGGGGATAAGATAGCCATACAACTCCAATGTGTCTTTTTGTATTTTGGGATCCTTCAACATTTGCAGCATATTCACTTGGTCGTAAACGATCGTGGATTATAAGCCAGAACAATATTTTTCTCTCACACCAAACCAGCTAACAGTAATAATCCACGATCGTATCAACACCAGCCAAACAGGCTATTAGTTTGGGGGCGAACATGCACGATCTTATTTTTGGATATACGTAAATTTATTAATTGTGAATGAATATATAGAAAGGTCAAGATGAAAACATGAATGCTTAGTTTAATGAAGATTTCTCAGTGTGAACAAATGTTGAGTACAGAATCAGGCAACCAAACACGAAGTGGTTGCATTCTTACCCAGATTTTAAGAACCGAACCGGATTCCAATAGGATGCATGTTGGGGCTCCTGAGTCCTGACCCCCCTGAATGTTCGCTCACGGAATCACGGATAATTTGGTGCGTCGAGAAAGAGACATCTGACGTGATGCCTCGAGATGACCGGTGGTCATCTGGAATTTGCGGAGAACATAGATGTTACCTGACTCTGGCAACTTTTTTTAAACCACAACAAGAATTCAAAATACATTTTCCATAGAACATTCGCCGTGCCATGGCCCACCGTCTGCGTGACATCGTGAGTGACGTCATCGAAAAAAAACTAATTAACGTGGGAATCCATGCTTCACCCACTTTACCTAAACAGGCATAATTGGAATCCATTTTCACCCACTTTGACACGAAAGTTTTTTTTTTTGAAAAAAAAGCCAAAATTTTGAAACTAAACACGCCCAAAAACCACAAAGAATTCAAAAAACATTTTCCATAGAACATTCCAAACCAAAGACCATGATCAACCGTCTGCGAACATCCCTTTGACGGAAATTTCAGTCTTGGAGGAAGTTTCCACCTTCCCATTGCCCAATGTCAGGTCGACAACAGAATGAACTGTCCATACAATAACAAAGACATGCAGACTAGTACATCAGAATTCGTCACCAAATTGACAGGATGGGGTTTTTAAAATCTTTGACAGGAAATTTCAGTCCTACCAGTTTCCACCTTCCCATTGCCCAATGTCAGGTCGACAACAGAATGAACTGTACATACAATAACAAAGACATGCAGACTAGTACATCAGAATTCGTCACCAAATTTCGTGGGGTATTTAGAGGCTTTACCTCTCCATTCGTCAGCACAGCAGAAATATGCTTGCGCCAGCCTAGGTCAAAAACACACAAAAAAAAAATCAGAAACGCAGGGAAAAAAATCTTGTGGTTCATTAATACTTTCGAAGCCTTCGAAGCCCCACTATGCCATCTAGTCACACTCTCTGACTCCTGTTCCATCCAGGAAATTCTAACCGTAGAAGAGTCTGCACCAACCGGATGACCATGGCACTTAATGCACCAGAGCACATGCCTGAAATCTGTTTACGATACCATGATGTTGACCTGATACCACTTCAGAACTGGAAGCTTAAAAATAACCAGTTGCTTGTTGCCTTGCTACTCCAGTTGTGGATGAATCACATGCATGGAACCCTGACCACATTGGTAGAACAAAAGATTCCTTAGCTTCTGATTATACCACCAAATTCCGGCATGCAGTGTTTTGATGTTTATCCATATAAAGCACTGTTAAAGCTGCGATCATGCTAGGAGATAGGAAATTTGATGACAAGCCTGAGTAGCCAATCTCTTCCCTTAATAAAGTATCCCGTTTCTTGATGGGTTCATAGAGAACCTTGAATACTTGGTCAGCTAATTCAATTTGCATCTGGCGGATTTGATCGTTGGAAATAACCTCACTGGTCCAATCAAATGGGATAGATGCCATGAGGTCCAATTCACATCGTAAAATGAAAACAAAATATTGCTAAAAAAATGGAAACACAATGTGACTACTGAAAACACAGAAGAGAAAATTGTAGTAACAAGCAATAAAGTTAAGGAGCTGAGACACCTGAATGTATGACAGGCCTATAGGCTATGGATGCCAATATTATCTTTGAAAATTTACTACTCGGGGAAATTGGTTCTGTAGCACGATAGACCATCATTTTCAGAAAATACCACTAAAAGATCTCCATCACATCAAATATCACCCCAAGAAAATACTAATCGGGAGATCTTTTCATGTTATTTTCTAAAATGTTCTTTCGATGCTACAAAACCATTTTCTCCTTATTGATCTATACCCATTCATACGCAAAACCTGATCAACTATCAAAATGGGTGATCTGCCATTTCTAATGGTTCACACTACGACATTATCAAGCGGTAGGGAGCCAGTGGCGGATCCAGCAATCTGGCAAGCTTTGGCGGTCGCCAGACCTGCCAGCCGGCTGGAGCCTGCAATCTCTCTCTTTTCTCATTGGTCACCAAAGGAGATCAGCTAGGTTGAAAGCATGAGCTGATGGTGCTCAAGTACATTGGTTTGTGCACCTTTGCATGTCCAAAATAGAAACGTATTTGTTTATTAAGACTAGTACTATCTATAACATCACTTTATCAAATTTGTTCGCTGACCAGTGAATTTGCACTCCTATTGAACTGAATAATTTCATCTCACATGGTTGCCCCCTAACACCGTATCCTGCATGATATGTTTTACAGTGTTTTTTTAGAAACTAGGCAACTACTCCCTCCGACTCTTTTTATCTATCGTTCTCACTTTCCGAGAAGTAAAGCGTACTCAACTTTGACCAAATATATATAAAAAATATTAATATTTATGATATATAATTAGTATCATTAGATAGATCGTTGAGTCTATTTTCATAATAAATTTATTTGAAAATATAAATATAGCTAATATTTTCTACAAGTTTAGTCAAACTTAAAAAAGTTTGACTAGCACGCTTTCCATGGCAACAGATATTAAGGGACAAAGGGAGTAGATTCCAGCTTGGGGTGTGGATCTGTGGATGGTAGGGCATCCTCAACAGACCACTTAGGTGGATGTGAGAGGCTAAAGAAAATAATATTTTACATTCTCTTTGCATGGAGCAGACCACTCTCTGTGTTATCAGCTCTCACAGATTCTCGATCGACGTAAAATAGCTGGGCGATTTGTTCATCGCTATTTAGTGCTCTCTCCTCTATTTCTTTCGCCACATTAGATCATGTCCTACTCAGCAGACTATGTCGTCCATTGTTGGGGACGCCCGTAGTTGACAACACGTCAACACCCTACACGAAATGCCAAGCTCTTGCACATTGCACCTATAGGGATGGATAGCTTTGCCATAGGTGGATTTCAATCCTGAATCCGCACTGAAACCTGTTTGTTCTATGACATGACTTGTAAAAAAATGATTTAAGAAAAATAGTTCTGACATACAAAAAAATGGAAACTATAATCACTCCAATAAGGAAGCTTAACAAAAGGTAACATACCAATTGTTATTCATTTTCATAAGTGATTGGGTCATAATTAATGTCAAATCCCACATTAACTTCGTAGCAAAGAACCAGAAAAAATACGATTCCTATCCCACATTTGTATCCTTCTATAATAGGTGGTACTCTAAGTTAGACCATGGGTGCAGAAAAGAAGGCAAAGAAACCCTCAAACTCTCAAACTCTAAATATTGCATATTCCAATTCACTAGAGGAAGTGCATATCAATAGGTTCAGCAACTTTAATGGGCAATTCAGTGAAGGCCCTTGATTGTGATTATTTTGGATAGTAAGATGCTCCTCTTGTACCTCTAGAAAAAAAATGTCTAGGTTAGAAACATGTTACCTTAATTTTGCAGCTAGATTCTTAGCTGTACAAGCCCGAAATAGGATCTCAGGCACAACAGGAGAATTCAAGAGAATGTTGGGCAGAGAAATAAAGTTTATCTTTTTCCTCAAGTGGATAAAGCATTCTGTAATGAAATGAGCTTGGTAAGCTACCACACAGGGTAGTCTTGCTAACATTAGTTCCATAACAGCTGTACCTGAAGTACATAATGCTGCTCTACTAGCCTGCAAAAGGAAGCATTACCTTCTTAGTTCACTCAAGGGATGCTGAAAGTGCAATCAAATTTGCAGTAGCATCTAGTAATTAACTGCAACAACGAAGTTACGTGATGACAGTTTGCACAGGCAGACCTGGCTGCTTAAGTTACAGACACTAAAAGTTAAACCACGAACCAGGAATTTCTCATTAGCTCTATTTGTTATACTTTACTTGATTGGGTCGAGATGTAACAGATGCTAATGAGGATTAGATAATCTATAATCATACCAACATGTGTACTCCACACATCTCAAGTAGGTCTGAACTAATTGATTGTGAGATACTATGGGTGTGTTTGGTTGGGTGGCCAACCCCTAGCCTGGCTCCCTGGAGCCAATTTTGGTCTGTTTGGTTGTCTGGAAGTGGGCTGGGGTCTGGCTAAGGCCAGCCATCCGTACCCCTTTAGCCTGGCCAGGATTGAACGACCGAATCGGTCGTTCAACTGGAGCCAGGTCCGAGCCAGCCCCCCTGCTCGTTCCCCTCACCCCCAGACGCCCCTCACCTCCCGGGCCTCCCGCGCGCCAGATCTCGTCGCCGGAGAAGAACGCGAGCAGCCTCGCCGGAGTCGAGGTGCTCCACCATGGTGAGGCTGCTCCACCCTCCCACGCCGTGGACCTCCACCCTCGCCAAGAGTCGCCGCGGCGTGGACGTCTTCCTCCACCCTCTCGCGCGCCAAATCTCGTCGCCGGAGAAGAACGCGGGCACCCTCGCCGGAGTCGAGGTGCTCCACCATGGTGAGGCTGCTCCACCCTCCCGCGCCATGGACCTCCACCCTCGCCGAGAGTCGCCACGGCGTGGACGTCCTCCTCCACGGCGCTAAGGACATGGGCGGAGCAGAGGCGGCGCACGTGCCGCCAGTGCTCGCCATGGGGGCGCGAACACAAGGTCCTGGAAGCCGTACATCAGGATCTCGGCCGTGCGGAAGTAAGGTAAGGCGCGTCGAAAGGTGTCGTCGTGCTTTCGCGATATGGCGGCGTGGCGGCGGCGGGGAGGAGGCCACCGGTAGCGGGTACTGGCCGAGGCGAGCCGCATGAGGTCGGAAGCGTGCGTGCGTCGTGGTGGCCATGTGAGCGATGGGGAAAACACCCGCTGGTGCAGCCGTGTGTCATTGGTTTGTTGCAAGAATGCAGAGGATGCCCACCACTTGCAAGAACGCAGAGGATGCCCACCACTTGTTCGACAAAATGCCTCATAGGGGTATCCTTACCAATTCGGAGAAGAGGTGACTGTATCAAAACAAACCAAACAACCAAACACACCCTGGGGCTAGCTAGGCTTAGACAGCACAGACAACCAAACAATCAGGGATTGACTTGGTGGGAGTAGGCTAAGGCTGCCCAGGCCAGGATTCTAGCCAAGCTAGAAGTTGGCCAGGAAACCAAACACACCCTATCTGGCCGGTTGGGTTCCAACTCCCAAGAGCTATTACTTAATAGCAGCATGTGTATCTTTGAATATGTTGCAATTAACAAACCAATGATCTAACTGGTTGTGGTAGAAAACACACATCTACTTAATTGACAAAGATTCAGGATAATGTGCTGAGCCTTCTGTCCACATTGACAGAAGTAACCGCTATCCATGACATGTCAACAACAAACTGTTCTCAGAGAGCCACTGATAATAACCAGCTCTACAACTATAATTAATTTGCTGACATAAATCGACAAAGGATTCAGGTGCCATTTTGGAATGGCAACGACACATCTTCCCCTACTAAAAAAAGGAAGGCTGTGTTTAGAGGAAATGGTAATCTGGCAAGAATACCAGGTAGAGCCTTGTTCTCCACAATCAGCGCTCAAGCACCCCATTGAAACTGCATACCATCACAGTGACAAAACACAAGGGTTGTCTCTTGTATAAAAAGAGATTGACCTGCATATTACTTTCTGTCCATTATGTTGTTATACTTTCTTGTGATCCAGTGTCACAATGTAGATCTGATCTTAATAACAGAATTATTTCATAAATCACCTAAGACAAAATGGACAGAAGCATGCACAATCCACTAACTGCACTAATCAACAGTTGTCTAAATTTCTCTTTAATTTTATTCTTTTATTCCTGTGCAGCCGATAGAAATCAAACATGAAGCTTTTTGAGAATGACTGATATAATCCAGAATTCAACTGTTAGGAAGGTATGGTTATTCAAAAGATATTCACGTGAAACGAAAAATAAAGGATAGAAACTATGTGAAATATATCGTCAGAATGAAATGGAGCTTGAGAATTAGACTTCAGACGTGAGCTCACACTGAATGCATTGTATCTTTCCTTAAGTGATCCCCCGGGTATCAACACCACTGGAAAAGGTCCTGACTGAACAACCTTTTCAATATAGGTCCTCACATCTCGATGTGGAGCAACTGGGATTACTAATGATAGTTCATTAAATGTTTGTCTTAAGTTCTGCACAGTATGCAAAAAGATCGGAAGCATTCGAACTACCTCCTGCATCCTACTTCCAGGCAACATGGTTATGATTGTGGCACCTAGCAAGGGTGTATTTTTCATTAGAAAGCGGGCATGCATTGACCACACAATCAACAACTGCACATTAAAACTTAGTGCACTAAGACTAAGAAACATTGATACAACTCCATAGAGGTGAATACACGACGTCTTGATATGAACCATTATTGATGAATGCAATTCGATGGTTTTTGCGTCACTCAAAATATAATAATAATATATCTATCATGTTTGCACATAGAACATATAGCTGACTATCATCACCTTTGAATCCACAGTAGCATCAGTTGAATTAAATGGAGCCTTCATGATGGAATATGTACTTCATTTTTTCAGATTTAGTTATATGTTTCACAATTGAGGTTGAAAATTAATATAAATGTGACCCACAAGATGTCTAGCTGATTTGAAAGCGCTCCAAAAACAGAACAATTCACAATGATTGCTCCAACAGAACAAATCTAAATAGAAATTTTGTCAACACAGTAGCCTTGAATTTTAATCGAATTGATCAAGCTGCAATACCAACAAAATGGATTTTCATAGCTAAACAGCCTAGCACTAACTGTAGAAAGTAAGTGTGCATGCGATTACTGGCAGTTAGAAACAGCAAGAGTAGTTTACATATTTGAAGTTGCATCATTATCGGACAGCAAGCTTAGCTACTGGAAAACAGTGTCTAGTTCCTTCCAAGGTAGTAAGGTTTAATTCCAAAAGACACTTCAGAAAGAACATATATGGCGCACTAATCTGATAAGTATGAGAGAAAAACAAAAGGCAGAAGGTAGCCATTGGCACTTACAGTCTAGGATCTTGTGCATGTAAAAAGTAGTGGCAAACAAATCATGTGTATGATTACCTGGGGACAGCCCATGTTCCAGTCGGAAAGCTTCACAACTTCTTTGATACTTGGACTTGTCAGAGGACAATTCTGGCCCCTATAATTTTTTCCAGATGAGGAGTTAAATTGTAAGTAAAAAAAAACAGTGATCTCATGAGAGCTACAATGGATTGATCTTGAGTCTTGACAATTGAATTACATGATATAAACATTTCCAGTTTACCAGATCAAAATGTTGTATTTACAATGAAATAATTTATCACTTGAAAATGACAAAGAATACATCAATACAATGTTCAGTAGTTACTGCATATCAACGGTACATTAGATGAGCACTAATACACTACACACAGGCTTTGCACCCTCTCATCTTTAAAGCTACATTTTACCCTCAATTCACTGTAAGCCATATGACTGCATGTGACTTTCTTGGTTTAATACAAGGTCTTTATGCAAGAAAATGTTAACTGGCCACATGGAGAGAGATAAGGTATGAAAAGTGTTTGGGAAAAGATGAAAGAAAGATTTGGATAGAAAAACTTTGAATTGAATAATTCTTTAGGTTAATGTCATTGATGGCTTGATGGTGAGCTAAAGCTACACAGGTCCTTACCATGTTTAGGCCAATCGCATCATCCAATAAGGGGTGGCCCACATAAGTAGCAGGCAACCCATTTAATCTGCATATTTCTTCCTCAAATGGAAGAATACACAACATGTGATCCACAAAATTATGCAATTTAGAGAGCCTGCTTTCACCACCTTTCCAGGCCCAGAATGATGGCGAAACATAATGGATATGCAGAGGACTTTGAACCTTCTGATTGCTTCTGCCTAGACAACAGAAAAATTTTATTCCATATTTGCTGATGAATGAATTAATCAAGAGAAATGCTTCCATTAACACCCTTACATTTCAATTGCTTCAACAGTCGAAAACAAAACCCCTTTGAATCAACTGTAACCACAGCATGAGGTTGAAATAGCATAGCCGCATTTGCAGTATCCTCAATTTTCCTCTGCAGAATTAAAGTGAGTATAATTAATGTCAAGTGCATCATATGAACAGAAAGCAAAGGATGAGGCACACACACATGTAGTACCTTGATACTATATATGTGTGGCAGCAGCTCCCACATGCCCATAATGGCAATTTCTTCCATGGGAAAAAGTGATTGCAAACCTTCCTTGCACATTAATTCACTACATTGACAAAAGAGTATGTATAATGGGGAAAGAAATGAAAGACCATATTTGAACAAGAACAAATGATAGGATCCACATTCCAACTTGAAACACTGGGATTGGATCAAATTGCAGATGGAGAAGCTAAACAATGCAATTATGCTGAAGAGAGCATTTCATGGGTACAGGGAGCACATGATAATTTCACACTTCGCCTTCAAATATAAGAATACAGAAGATACCTGATTACAAAAATGACCCTATGAAATTTGATCAGGAAGTATGTGCGTATATAAATGAGATCATAAATTGAAGAATGGTGGAAACTCAACAATAAATCTTTCTTATGATGGAGAAAAGGAAAAGAAACGCAAGTTCAAATGTATGATGTTGTCTTTGATTTATTTGTGTCTTCTAATCTTCTTCATTCTCCTCTTCTAGAGAGAAGAAAATGAATAAATGTTTGCTTTTCTCAAGCAAGGAGTCAGACAAGTAAAGAAACCAAACCATTTGGGCCAATAGAATCAGGAAGAATGGTGACATCATCCTAGTATCCTTAATGTGCTGAGCCTCAAAGAAATATTGTCTCAACAAGTACCACATATCAGTATAACAAGAACAAATGAAAATTCAACATATCTATCCCTGCCTGAAAATTAATTAAAATGTTGCATGCCTCTTATCCTGATGTTTTTCATTCACCTCTGCAAGTTCTATGTTTCAAGTGGGAATGGATGCAATCAAACTCTATAGGCTATCCAAAAACTAATAGTGTTTGGTTTGAGGAATGGGTTAGTCCATCATCTTCTCCTTACTTTTTTTTTTTGGTTTGGTTTGTGGAATGGAATGGGTTGATGCATCATTACCTCATTCCTCATGACTAATAAATATTATTAGTGTGAGGAATGGAGTCATTCCACCAAATTTGAGGAATGGACTCACAATGCACCATCTCGTCTAGAATGGTTTGATTCCTCAAACCAAACACCCTATAAATGTCGCTTCTACCTTCGTTCTACTCAATAACTTGGATTGTATAGCATTTATTTGACCGCAACCACAATAGCCACAATTGTTAGATGATCCCCAACGGTGCATAGGTGTGAATTGCACCAATGTGCATTGACATGATAAATCAAATGTGTGATGTGAACCTCGGTAAAACTTCGGGAGTAAGTAAACCCGAGTTTGAGGCCCTAAATCTTTGACGGTACGAGGTATTGAACCAAAAGACGGACGAGGCAGAACACATACCCGCCAACGCCAGCGAAGCGGACGGGCACAGGGGACAGCGCCCTGAGAGACGCCATGAGTCGCGAAGCGAGAGAGTCGCCGGATACCTCGCCAGCGACCACGAACACCCTGAGCTCCCCATCGCGAGCGGCAGCGTCCACAACCCTACCGTATGAGAGCGCGCGCGCGAGGGGCCTAGGCGGTCGCGCTCGCCGACGCCCCTCGGCTGCGATCCATCGCAGTAGCATCGGCCGCGTCAGAAGAAAGCGGCGCCGGACGGAGTGGAGATTGGAGAATGGAGAATTGGAGAGTCGAAGCCTGGGCGTGGGCGAATGGGCGAAGAAGCCCAACACAAGTCGGCCTACCTGGCTGGGGTGTCTGGCGTGGGCCTTGCGCACACGTCAACTGAAAACCCCAAAACCCTCGAGCTGCTGCGCGCGTGGGCTTTCCGCTCCCAACAACGCAAAAATATCACGATCCACCCTTCCCAGCTGCCGTCGCCGCCACCGCCGCGAACGAGATGGCGGCAGGCCTTTTGCTCCGCGGTCTCCGCTCATCGGCGAGCCAGGCACATATCCACTCTCTTTCCCATGCCTCCTCCCCGTCGGCGCTGGGGTCTTCCCTTCTACGCTGCCTCTACTCCTCTGCGGCGGCGTCAACCGCCGCCTCGGCTGCTTTCACGCCCGGCGGCGTCATGGACCCGTCCCGCATCCGCAACGTGGCGGTGATAGCCCACGTCGACCATGGGAAGACGACGCTCATGGACCGGCTCCTGCGACAGTGCGGGGCCGATATCCCCCACGAGCGCGCCATGGATTCCATCAGCCTTGAGCGCGAGCGCGGCATCACCATTGCCTCCAAGGTAGGTAACACATCTCGCAGGGCCCGTGCTTGCATGCGTGGTTAGTGAGGCTGGAGCTGGGATTCTTATCCTACTACCATTTCGTTGGGCAACTTGCGTGCATCACAGCAATGATCTTAACATAATCCGCCTCAGAGGCCATTCTCAATTTTTGATTTCTGTGTCCCATAATTTTGACATGCACTCCTGAGTCCTGAGTAACACTTCGACCTTTAATTGACTTCGTTGTGTTTGAATTCGAATTGGTCAGAGGATGGATGTCAGCATGTCACGACTGATTCAACTACTGTTCTGAAGTGTATACTGTGCTTGATGACTCTTGTGGTTCACTTGTATCAATTTACAAATACCTTATGCCCATTTCCATGAGAAACGAAAGTAGCATTTGGCCCAATACTCTTTATTCAACATTACCCGCACTCTCATGCATCATTGCAGTGATCACTTAATCCTCGCTTTTTTTTTTTTCCATCCGATAGCGTGAGTGGACTGTATTAGAAGTTTAGAACTTTCCTATGATCTGTAGTAAGTATATCATTTATTATATGTTAGGCTACTTGTCTTCATGCAACAAATATAAAATCCGATATGACATCAATCCACATTCTAGAATCAAGAGTGACAAGTTGGTGTGTCGGTGCTGCATAAAGAATTGTTAAGTTGCTATTGGAAACCACTACACTGTATATAGAAGATTTTGTGTAGATCATTTCTTATTCATTATTCCTGCAATGATTAACTTGCCATCTGATTTCTCTTGTTAATGTGCACACAACATATCATGTTAAATTTTTATACCTAAATTTAGTCTTAATTACCCTGCTTGTTAGAGGCTTAGAGCTGAAATGACACAAAAACTGTGATGTTATCAGCACTTCAATTACAAGGGTCTCATAATTAAAATAGTAATCAGGTATTTATCTGATATTAGGCTGTATATAGAATAGGATCTACTAACTGCTCCTTTGCATGTGGATGATACTTAACTTGCTACTGACTGTAGGCTCAGAACATTCTTTCATGATCTTGAAGAGCTTGATTAACAACCATTATGCGGCACTTCCATTATGTGTCTAGTAAATCAGAAATGAAGAATCTACTCAAGAACTTAGGAAAAAAGGATTAATTGTGTTACAGTAGTTCTCACTAAATTGAAGTTAATAAAATAATTTCAGACTACAAAGCATTGTATTCCCTTTGTATGTTTAGTAAGATATAGCATTAATCTGACCTGTTGATATGATACGACCGTTTATCCCATTTAAATGGCCGTTTTGCCCGTCTAAGTGGCTGTTTAGCCCGAATAATGGCTAAACGGCAAGTGACCAACTGTTTACCGTTTAGGATAACACTAATGATAAAAGTTTGGCATGCCAGCTAACTTATGTAATATCTCGCGTGCCAAGTTAGTTTTGATGTTTACACCACATGTGCACTCTTTCACCATATGCAAGATTGATTTGAACTAACATCTGCATAGTCTGGTTGATAAACATGCTGGACAAATCACATGGAAATCAGGTGCTCATAATGCACTCTGATTAGCGTACCCTACCCTTATTTCCTATTCCTAAGTTCCTGCACTATAGTGAAGTATTGCTGTATTCCATATAGAGCATGCCATATGAAACCTTTAGCAATACTGCTTGCTGATGTTAGCTACTTTTAGGTCACTTCTGTCTCTTGGAGGGAAAATGAACTCAACATGGTCGATACACCTGGCCACGCTGATTTTGGTGGTGAGGTATGTGGTCCTCATATAATTTTCTATGATTTGGACCAAAATGTAGATTTTGATGTGATGTACATTATGATCGTTGCCAAATTTGTTGCAGGTTGAACGAGTTGTTGGGATGGTGGAAGGAGCTGTCTTGGTTGTTGATGCTGGGGAGGGACCTTTAGCACAAACTAAATTTGTGCTTTCAAAGGCTTTGAAGTATGGCTTGCACCCAATTCTTCTCCTCAACAAGGTTGATAGGCCTTCAGGTCTGCATCATTATCAGACGTTAACGTTATTTCAGTAGTATTTTCTGATTGCAATGGATCAGGTTAAAGACACAACGAAACAATTTTTCTTTACAGGGAAACCATTTTTAATGTTCATCATTTTAACTGAAATGCCATTGCACCATTATTTGTACTAGTTTGTTCGAGTAAACTAACTGATAAAGAGTCTTATGGTGAGCATGTACATCTAATTTGTTACAGTAATATGACTAAATGCAGACTACATGACATCTGAAGTTAAATGGGTTGAATGATAGGTTGATTTAAATAAGGCAAGGGGAAAACAAGTAGAATGTAGATGCTTTAAGATCCCCCCACCACCACCATCAGGAGCCACTAGAAATAAGTAAATTAAGGTGAAATGGTTTTGACCAAAACTTCTAAATATTTGTGTGTTCGCCAAATTTAATTTGGAAGCTGAACTTTATGCTGTTAGTCGCTGAATTCTCACTCTTGGTAGTAGGAGAATTCTTACTCTCATCGAGAGAGGATGACACTAGGAGTTAGGGCAATTTTCTTGTCTATTTCTCACACAAGCTCACACAAATGCCATACCAACCTGAGGGGTTGGGGTTACATATTTATAGGCTGCTAGCTAGCCAAGCATAGCCAAGATGCTAGTCTAAGATGCTAGTCTAAGATGCTAATATGCTGTCCTAGCTAAGATGCTGTCCTCTAGTCTAAGATGCTGTCCTAAAAACAGAAAAACAGCCACTAGGACCATGTGAGCAACAACAGCCCCACAAAGACCCACCCACACATGACTTATCCATCATTCTCCCCTAAGTCTTGTGCGCGTCTTGTGGGAGAGTTGAACCATCCGGTCTTGGAGCAGCTCAAGGAACTTGATCCTCCCAAGGGGGCTTGGTGAGCAGAGTCCAAGCTGGTCCTTGGTGTTGATGTAGTTCGCCTTGATGCTCCCTTCCTCCAAAAAACAGCCTCGGATGAAGTGGTACCTCACCCGGATGTGCTTTGCTGCGTTCGTGGAACACGGGGTTCTTTGCTGCAGGGCAGGCGGACTTGTTTGTCCACCACAGCTCCACCGCTCTAGTGTCTGCCGAGGAGATCACCAAGCGATCGAGCGAGCAGGCGCTGAGTCAAGCGGTGGAGGCCGCTATGTACTCGGGCCTCGAGCTAGACCAGGCCACCACTGGCCGCTTGACCGATCGCCAGCCTAACGAGGCACTTGCCGAGGAAGAAGAGGATCCCGCTTCGTGTTTTGGTGTCGATGTCGCGTGGGCGTGGTCGTTGTCATGCATGCACGGCAAGTGTGCCGCCCAGACACCTCGGGTAGTTCGTGGTCGAGAGTCCCCAACGTAGCGGATGATCCTCTTCATACTCTTTTGGTACTCCGTCGTCGGTCATTGCATGAACCGACTAACGTAGCCGACGGAGAATGCCAAGTCCGGCCGTGTGTGCGAGGTAGCGAAGGCTTGAGCATTGTGTAGCGGCCCACCTCCTCCGTCGTCTTTGTCGCGGCTCGACTTCACCTCTCCTCCATCGGAGTGAGAGTTGAGTTGCGATCGGTGAGCCCAGCTAGCTCAATGACGCGCTTGGCGTGGCGGTCTGTCAAGCGTGATCCCGAGTCATCTGGTGCACCTCGATTCGTGTAGAAGGAGAGAGGCCCCTGGTCACTCATCGGAAGGTGGCCTTCATCTCTTCCTTGAATGCCGCCACCTCCACATCCTTGGTGCCGGTGATCACCAAGTCGTCGACGTGAACACCCACCACCGGTGAGGCATTTCCTCCATTGCCCCCGTCGGTAGATGGCACGCCTCGTGCGGGCTTTGCTCAAGCCCATCCCCTTTAGCGTGGAATCCAACTTGGCATTCCACGCCCTCGTGTTCTGCCGCAAGCCATAGAGGCCTTTTGCAGTGAGCACCTGCCCTCCTTGCCGGGATCGCAAATAGACCTCCTCCTTCAAGTCGCCGTTAAGGAACGCCGACTTGGCGTCCCATGTGGTGAACACGCCCGCCCTCCCAGGCGATTAAGCGCAGAGGAGGAGTCGACGGACTCCATCCGTGCCACGGAGCAAAAGCGTCGTCGAAGTCGACCCCTCTCTGCCGCACGAAACCTCGTGCCACCAAGCGAGCCTTGTGCTTGACGATGGCGCCGGCTTCATCCCTCTTCAACTTGTACACCCACTTAAGGGTGATCGCGCGGTGACCAAAGTTCTTCTCAACCGCATCCATCTCCAATCGCATCGCGGCATTCATGCCGCGTGTCTCTCGGCCTCTCTGAACGACCGAGGCTCGCCGTCGTCACGCGCAAGGTGCAGCTGCGCCTCAGTCGTGAGGCACCGGTCCGCTACCGGTCGGTCGCCAAGCGGCTCACCGTCGTGGTGCGCGTCGGCGACGCGCTCCTCGTCGTGAGAGAGCGAATGTAGAAGCTTGCCGTGCTCGACTACATTTAGCCGGTGGTGGAGTAGACGTGCCGAGTGGTGCTGTCGGTCTTTGGAGTGCGTGGCGTTGCTTACGTTCTCGCGTACCGAGGTCTGGCTAGAGCGTGGTTCGAGTATGGCAGTGGGGGTCGGTGGAGGCTCGGAGATCGGGGTAGACGCGCCTTGAAGAAGAATTCGCTTACTACTCCCCAATTTGCCTCAAAGTGGACGTATTTCGATAGTGAAGTCGTCATGACGTCGGAGCCGAGCTGCCGCCCCTTCGCCTTGTCTCACGCCCATCTCGCGCCGCCCGTCGAACACTGGCGTTTGCGCACACGCGTGTCTTCGGGTCGAGGATGCGGTAGGCCTTCGAGCCCCTCGCGAGCCGATGAACACTACGCCGAGCGAGCTTGACTGATGTGGCCAAGCTCCTTTGGAGGCACCAAGGACCAAGTGGGAGACCGCTGGCTTGCGCTCATGCCAAACCTCGTCTGGCATTTTGGTAGGCGAAGCGGTTGAGGATGTAGACGGCCGCCACCACCGCCTCTCCCGGAAGATAGCCGGCATCCCCTCGCTTGAGGGAGGGCCGAGCCATCCCCACAACCGTCTGGTTGCGCCGCTCGACGACGCTTCTTCAGACGGTAGCGGAGTAGTGGTACTGAATGCTCCTCACAAGAGGACGACGCGAATTGTGCAGCTCTGCGGCCGACTCCGCCTCCGCGGCGACTGCATACCGATGGCGTCCGCCTCTCTCTCTTCTGCCGAGGACCATCACCCACATGTAGCGGGAGAGGGTCGACGAGCGGCAGGAAGTAGCGTCGTCCTCCGGTGTGGCGGTGTCACCGGGCCACACAAGTCCCCGTGCACAAGCTCGAGCCTCTCCTTGGCTCAAAGCTCGCCGGGGGAAAGGGAGTTGCCTCGCCCGTCAACACGCAGACGCCGCAGAGCTGCTCCACATGGTCGAGCGAAACGGCAGGCCTCGCACCATCTCCGCGGGCACCGAGCCGCTTGGGGCCTCAAAGTGAAGGTGCGGCGCTCGTGCCCTGCGCCACGCCTCGTCGTCCCGACGAAAGCGGCGAGATGAGGGGTTGTGCCACCGCACGTTAAGAACGTAGAGTCGATTTTGGCGCTCGGATACCTTGGCAAAAGGCGACGACGACGATCCCAAATCCTCATGACTCGTCCTCAACCACCACCACGCGAACCGTTCTCATCCGGTTGTCCCAAGGCGATGATGGAGTTCCTCAACGGGGATGTAGTAGACTCGGTGGAGCACTGTGCTCACGAGACACGGTGGTGAAGATGACGGAGCCGACGCCTTGATCTCCACGCCGGAGGCATCCCCAAACTTGACGGAGCCTCGAACGCTAGAGTCAAGCTCGGTGAAGAACTCCGTCGCCCGGTCATGTGATGGGTGGCGCCTTGTCGAGGCACCACCCGTCGAATGCGGCTGGAGGTAGCTTCGATCTTTGGCATGTGCCATGAACAGAGCCAGCTCTCCTCCGCTTTGTCGACGTGGGCTGGCAGCGTCGTGGTATCGAGCGATCCTTGGCCCAATGGCAAAAGTGTCGTCTCGTGCGGCTTGTACTGCTGGGCGCGCCGCCTTTGGCATCACCCTCGGCGCGTCCTTCAGCACTGGCGTCTCTGCTTTTCTTGCTTTGCCACGCTTGCGGCCACGCTGTTCGCGCGAAGAAGGCTCCCCTTCCTCCGGTCACCACTGGCGGCAAGCCATCGCTCCCAGTGAGAAGGAGCTTCCGCCCGGTGGTGATGGGCCCCGAGAGGATCTGGTGGCTCATCATCATGCCGGCGACCTTGAGGCGACCTATCGCCTCCTCGATCGACATCGTGGAGAGATCCAAACAACGACTTCGATCGAGCGAGCCCATCGCTTGTACTTCTCGGGGGCCGCAGCGGAAGAGCTTTTCGATGACTCTCTAGGTGTCGTCATTGAATCGCACCATCTTACGCATGTGAGTGTTGAGGCGGAGAGCAAAGTCATCAACGTCCTCACACGGCTTGAAGGCGTGTTCTCCCACTCTCCTTGCGAAGTGCTGCGGCATGGACTTGCGGCGCGCTGTCGCTGCCGATCGCGTGCTGCGACGATGGCGTCCCAAGCCTCCTTGGCGTCCGCTTGTAAGCGAAGCGCATCTCGGGCGGGGCTGCAGCGATGAGAGCATCCGGCGCCCGTCGATCTAGGTCGTAGTCGACGTCGCCATACCGGGACCGCCTCCCACATGTGCCGCGACTGGAGCTTTACCTCATCACCGCAGCCCACTCGGCGAAGTTGGTCTTGGTGAGGGTAGGCCACCCACCGCCGGGACCGACGTCCACGACAACAACTGAGCCCGTGGTAACCACGGTACCGATCCGGGAGAAAGCCACGCGCGCTGTGAAGGCCGCGCTCTCCATCGACCCGTCCGCCACCGTTGCTGCTTGGCCTCCTCACTAGGCGCCGCCGCGCCGTCTTAGCGCCTCCTCAGAGCGCCACCGCGCGTCCGCGCTGTCACAGGCTGCCGCGCGCGCTGGCGTGGCGCGGCGCGGCTGCCCTGTGAGAGCGCCACCGCCGCGGCGCGCCTTCTCCAGAGCGCCGCCGGTAGCGTCCGCGCTTTATGCTGGCTGCCGCCACGCTTCGTGGGCGTCGCGGCTGCCATCGCGCCGCAAGCGCGCCTGTTGCCTCCCTCTCTAGCAGCTTGAGGTCTGCGTCGGCGGTGTCGTCGGTGAAATGGAGCCGCCGATGCCGCCACGTCGAGAGCTCGACCGCCGCCGCCCAGCCGCGCGCTGCATTCGCCGCCGCCGCCTCGCTCTCATTTTTGCCAGCTCCTTGGCCGCTAACCTCGACGCCCTTGCCGCCGCCCGCGGTTGTCTCGCCGCCGCTTCGCTCGCGTTCTCTGCTGCGGCAAGTTCGGCCTCCCGCCGACGCCCAGCGCTCGAGGCGATCGGAAGGCCGAGATGAGCCTCATGGACATGACGCGCTACGGGGGATCTTTGCGTGGGGAGAGGGCTGCTTGACATTTGGGAGAGGAGTGAAGCAGAGCGCCGAAGCTCTGCTACTCTCGGTGGGGCTGTTGCGAGGTCGGGCAAGGGGATGAGCAGGAGATGCTCAAAGCTACAGGATACTACGGCTCGATACCACTTGTTAGTCGCTGAATTCTCACTCTTGGTAGTAGGAGAATTTTTACTCTCATCGAGAGAGGATGACACTAGGAGTTAGGGCAATTATCTTGTCTATTTCTCACACAAGCTCACACAAATGCCATACCAACCTGAGGGGTTGGGGTTACATATTTATAGGCTGCTAGCCAGCCAAGCATATGCCAAGATGCTAGTCTAAGATGCTAATATGCTGTCCTAGCTAAGATGCTGTTCTCTAAGATGCTGTCCTCTAGTCTAAGATGTTGTCCTAAAAACAGAAAAACAGCCACAAGGACCATGTGAGCAACAACAGCCCACAAAGACCAGCCACACATGACTTATCCATCATATGCAATGTAGACTTCTTTTAATTAGATGAAATGATGCTATCCACAATTGTTTAACTCTCTTATGTTGCATCAACAGTTTCTGAAGAAACCTGCAATGAAGTAGAGAGCTTGGTTTTTGATCTTTTTGCAAACCTTGGTGCTACAGGTCCAGTCCTGCTCTTCAATTTGGTTTCTTTAAAGTTCTTTCTTTTCTTTTTGTGAACTTGTTTTGTTTGGTTTTTGCAGAAGAACAGTTAGATTTCCCAGTTCTTTATGCATCCGCTAAAGAAGGGTGGGCTTCCTTAACTTTCACTAAGAGCCCCCCTGATAATGCAAAGAATATGTCTTCATTGCTCGATTCCATTGTACAGCATGTTCCTTCACCAAAAGCTGATCTTGAGGCTCCATTCCAAATGTTGGTTAGTATGTACTTGAAGAACACCAAAACTTGATTTTGTTTGAGATGAGGGTTGTGTCTGCAATTTCTTTTCATTCTTTAATTCCATCCTTAGTTATGCATATGGTAGAATCACTGGCCATAGGAGATGTCTTTATTTGTATGAGTTCCACTTGATTTGCAACTAGAAGAATAAACAGGCCTTTCATTCTTACAATATTCGCTTCGATGCCACAGTCCATGGTACCGATTTGCCATCCCATTTACTGTTCACCAGTGATCTCTATTACTGCTTGGGTTGGTACCTGGTGAGAGGACATCATAAACAAAAGGAGGCTGGCGGGATTTAGGGTAGGTGGAAGGGACGAGGGAAGTACTGTCAAGAGGCACCTAGGATGGCTCATGGCCCACGTTCCAAGCTAGCATCCTACACCTACCCTCATCAACCCTTGACCTTCATTTATGGCTACCATGTCCCAGTACTGATCCTGAACCCAGTCGCAATATGTTTAAGGAATTGCTCTCTGTTTAAACGAATGAGATTATCAGTAAAGAATAACAGAAGGATAAGTTCTTGCTACACCAAGAGCCTGGTCCCAGGCAGGAATGCTCCCAGTCGAACACATGAAATCTCACTTTGAAGGTAGTAATTCACTTTTCTTTCACAGGTTTCCATGATGGAACGTGATTTTTATCTAGGACGAATACTCACTGGGAGAGTAAGATCTGGAGTTGTCCGTGTTGGTGACAAAGTCCATGGTCTTCGCAGTACAGATGATGGAGTTCAGAAGATTGAAGATGGAAAGGTCTGTCAGAACATTGTGCCCCTTTTCCTTTCAAATTCTGATAATATTCTTTTTTCCTTCATTATGTGTTAATATTGTCTTACTGAAAAGCCTCAATGACTTATACAAATTATACTAAATAATCTAGGTTGTCAAACTCATGAAAAAGAAAGGCACAAGTATGGTAACAGTAGAGGCTGCAGGGGCTGGTGATATAATTTCAATGGCAGGATTGGCTGCTCCAGCAATTGGACATACTGTGGCAAATTCAGAGGTAGCACTATATGCTTTGATTGGCCACTTAACCTTGTCAATTGCCTCAAATTTACTTCTACCTCTGGTCATAAAAACATGTCCTTTAGGACAAGGTTTGATCAAACCATAAAAAGTACAAGCATCAATAACACTTAATTATTTAGTTTGGAAACATGTAAAGTGGTTGCTATTTTTAGGTATTGACTGCTCTGCCTACAATTGAGTTGGATCCTCCCACAATATCCATGACATTTGGCGTGAATGATTCACCGTTGGCTGGCCGGGATGGCACTCATGTAAGTACCAAATAACTTCCCTCTACATCGTACTTAATGGTGTTATTATTATTTTTATTTTCTTCTGATCAAACCTTAGTCTTCCATTGGATTTTGTGAACAGAAGATTAAAGAGCTTGCACACTTGTAAAAACAAGAGTATGATATATGAGATAAAATAAGATTTCAGCTTATGTTTATCACATGAACAAAATTATAAAAATCAACTAGACCTAGATGAGCCGTGATTTAATATTTGATTTATGATTACCTTGAGTCCCCTGAAAATTGTTACAGAACAATCAGTGTACCTTATATATTTTGATTGACAAATCAAGTTCATGATGTGGATAGCTTGCATGGAGAGAGAAACATGCTAGTGGGGTTTGCAAATATAAGATATATAGATATAGATATAGATTTGCTCCACCCCTTTACTTAAACTACTAATCAGAACGTAGTTTCTGTCATTGTTATGGACGTGGGCCTTGGCCTTGAGCAGCAGCAGGATGCACAGTAGAAGCAGTGCACCGGCCAGCCAACAGAAACTTGCATCCAGGAACTATGTTAGTCGCATTAGTTAGTGGTTAACTAGTTTGTTTGTTAGATGTGCATATCCATCTGTTAGCCTTATCAATCTGTTAGCAGGTGTGCTAGTCTCTACATAAAGAGCACACCATCTCCTTTGTAAACCAAGCAAGAACCCAAAAGAAGCAGTCAGAGCCTCCAGAGGGAGGGAAACTAGCCAGTTCTTTGTGCTATCCTGTCTAGCCCAACCAAATCCATGAGTCATTAATTTGATAACTAAGTCAAGACTTAATGATGCTTCTTGTTGTTTTCCTAAATGGAACACCAGTGATCAGCCTCATTTGGTTAAAGGCATACATCCAATAACAGCTATTATCGACCAGCTTCACTTGTTGCTCAGTACCGACTAAACATGGACAGTTGGATTGGACTGAACTTGATTAAATATATAGGATGACATTCTAGTATGTCCTTTTAAAGCTAGGAATATAAAATTTGTATTTGCTAACAGCGTGTTTGGTTCATGGATTGAGTTTTATCTGACATGAGTTAGTCCAGCATGCAACTAGAATGGGTCCATCTGTCATTTTCTCGGAATGGATCCATTCTGCAGAATCACCTAGCTGTTGGCTTGCGGGAGCACTGTGCAGAGTGTCTTCGTGACTGATGAGTTCAGCTCGCGCAAACCAAACAGCTCAGGGAGGTTCAGTTTCTGGTTCCAATGATTCCATAGAGTCATCACGCGAACCAAACATGCTATAAAGGAACACAAAAACAACTGCTCATATGGCTTTACTTTCTATAATTTTGCAGCTAACTGGAGCAAAAATTGGTAACCGCCTGATGGCAGAGGCAGAGACGAATTTGGCTATTAATGTTCTCCCTGGACCATTATCAGAATCTTATGAAGTTCAAGGAAGAGGAGAGCTTCAGTTAGGTCTGGATTGTTGATGAAACCCCACCTATTCTACTGTATAACTGAACTTAAGTTAACTCTTTTGGAAGTTCCCCATACTTTGTTTAATGTGTAATCAAGAATACAAAATGATGATCTGTGTATGTTCCAGGAATATTAATCGAAAACATGCGGCGTGAGGGATTTGAGCTTTCGGTGTCACCTCCAAAAGTGATGTGAGTTGCAATTTTTCACGTAATAGCAAACTATATTCTCTCTGATTGCAAATATAGATCATTTAGGACATTGGCATGGTCTATAATATGACACTTCAACTTACAATTATTTTCAAGTTATACTATCTAATTTAAAATAGAGTTATGTATTATGAAAGTATTTTCCATGATGAATCTAGTGACATCCATGTGTTATCAATTTATTTAACTTTTCATGCATTGATGGATCAGATCTGTTAGAATATCTAGTTTCTATGTGAATGCTTCTACTCTACTTATGAATGCGCCACCTCCTCCAGGCTGGCTTGGCCCTTTGGGCTCCTCTGCAATCTATCACTCTAGTCTAAACTGGCCCCTTCGGGTCTAGCCCCTTGGGCACCTCTGTATCCTAGGCTATATATGTAACCCTCTTGTAACACAGCTTTTCATTGACAATATCTCAGCCTGTTAGGCTTCTATCATGGTATCACGAGACTTTTGAGTCCTGTGCCGCTTCCGCCTCTATCCAGCAGCGCGTGCTTTCGCGCTTCAGCCAAGTGCTCGTGCAGAGCGCATTGTTATCGCTACCATGGTCAGCCGATACCCCTACCTCCGGTGACTCCAAAGATCGGTCTCTCGGCCACCGGCTGCTGCGTAAGCTTCGTGATGAAGCTACCTCCGCCCGAAGTCTTTGGAGGCCGAGCCATCTCCATCCGCTTCCTCCAACGCCGAAGCGCGCCGGCAGCTCAACAGAGGCCGACCTCCTGAAGTCCGCCGCCGCCGCCAGAGCGCGTTTCGCTCTCGCCCTTGTTGCTCTTGACCAAGAGCGCTTGCAGAAGTCGACGCTCGAGCAAAGCGGCAGTCGCCCGCCCGCATAATCGTCTTCGCGAGGCTGCTCAAGGACGACGATGTTCGCGACGATGACGCCCCTCTCAAGCCGCGACCATTGCTCATCTCCACACCAAAGCGGCTGCCTTGTCTAGAACATCAAGCACCGATCCCCATCGCCCTCGAACTCCGATCGTCATCGAACTACTCCAAGTGGCGCGGCTACTTCCTCCTCACCCTCGGGCGGTTCTCCCTGAGGGGCCATGTCCTCAGCGATGACACCCGCCCCGACGATTCGGCATGGCCTCGCATGGACTGCGTGGTCGTCTCCTGGATTTTCAACACCATCTCCCCCGACCTTCTGGACATCGTCCACGAGCACACTGGCACCACTGCCCGGGCGGCTTGGCTCAGGGTCGAAAACCAGTTCCTGGGAAATCGCGAATCCCGGGCACTCCTTCTTGATGCTGAATTTCGCAACCTCTCTCAGGCGCCTCTCCATCGGCGACTCATCGCCGCTAGATGAAGACCAAGGTCGATGCCCTTGCCGATCTTGACGAGCCCATCGGTGATCGTGATCGACGCCGTCCCCGAACGCCCCTGCGCGGCCTCAACGAACGGTTTTGATTCATGGCACAATTGATCACTCGCTGAAGCCGTTTCCTTCCTTGGCGGCGACGACGTTCGCAGACCTGCGCCTTGTTGAGCTCAACATGGAGCGACCTATGGCTCCTCCTCGGCTCTTCTCGCTACACCGACCACCAAGCCGCTGCGCCGCGCTTCCACTTCTGCGCCGCGCCCACTCGAGATCTCCTCGTGGATCTCTCATCGGCCCCTTACGGCAAATGACGCGGGCGCCGTCGCCTTGATGGTGGGCGTGGTAAGGCGGCTCTGGAGGTGGTCAAGGCGGCTCTAGAGGCTCGCCATGGCCCTCCGTGTTCAATCCATGGGTGGGTCCATTCATATGTGGCCCGGCTCCAACCCAGCGGTCCCTCGTGCTCCACCGCGCCTCGCGCGGCTTCCTCCACACCAAAGAGCAAGCTCGATGGTCGCCATGGCTCGGCCTCCTCCACCATACTCCACACCGGGCCCTTGTCGGTACTCCTGTGCACCGAGCCAGGTCTCAGACTCCCAGGCACCGGTTCGTCAGCACCCCTCCTCGCATGGGCACCTTGGGATTCACACTCCCTCGCCAACGCCAAAGATGTGACCCTTACGCCACCAGTAGCAGCGATTGGGTTGTCGATTCAGTGCTTCCTCCCACATCGCATCCAACCCCGGTATGGTTACCTTATCCTCTTCCTCCACCTTTCCTCTTCCATTGTTGTTGGCAACGGTGCCACTCTCCCCGTGGTTGGCACGGTTACTCCACCCTTCCCGGTCCCTTTCGCCTCAACAATGTTCTCCTTGCTCTCGACATCATCAAAAATCTTCTCTCTCGTTCGTTCAATTCACCACCGATAACCATGTTTCATTGAATTTGACCTGTTGGCATTTCAGTAAAGACCTACACGACGAGCACCATCCTCCTTCGCCGCAATAGCTCGGGACCTCTCTACACCCCTACATTTGCCATCATCATCGTCCGGCTCCTGCGCTCTTGTCACCACCCTGTCGACGATCGATTGGCACCGTCGCTGTGGTCACCCCGGCAAGGATGCCTTCCAACACCTTACGCAGTCCTCCTCTATTATCTGCAGCAAGCCCGGCGACACCTCTTTATGTCATGCTTGTCAGCTTGGACGACATGTTCGGTTACCTTTCACTAGTTCGATGTCCAGGACTTCCAAACCTTTTGATTTAGTTCATTGTGATTTGTGGACCTCTCTCGTACTTCAAAGATTTACGGTTTCAAGTACTATTTAGTTATACTTGATGACTACTCGCATTTTCTATGGACTTTCCCACTTCGCCTCAAATCCGACACTTTTTCCACTCTCTAATTTTTTCGCCTATGTCTCCACTCAGTTTGGGTGCCCCGTAAAATCCATCCAATGCGATAACGGCCGTGAGTTTGACAACTCTTCCTCTCGCGCTTTTTTTCTTGTCAAAGGCGTTTCCCTGCGTATGTCTTGTCCATACACCTCATGAAAAAGCAGCAGCAAGGTGAGCGCATCCTTCGCACCACAAATAATGTCATCCGCACCTCATCGCTTTCAAGCATCTATGCCTCCCTCCTATTGGGTGGACGCTCTTGCCATCGCCACCTATCGATCAACCGTCTTCCCACCAAGACGTTGGGTCTGTCCACACCCTACTTCGTCCTCCATGCCACTCACCCTTCCTACCGCGAACTTCGGGTTTTTGGGTGTGCCTGCTATCCTAATCTCACTGCCACTGCCCCACATAAACTTGCTCCTCGCTCTACTTTGTGCGTCTTTCTTGGTTATTCCCCTGATCACAAAGGTTATCGCTGCCTTGATCTCACCTCCAACCGGGTCATCATCTCTCGCCATGTTACCTTTTGACGAATCCCATTTTCCTTTCTCCCATCACCGATCATCTCCTCCACCCGTGAGCTTGATTTTCTAAGCGATAATGAGCCTCCACCGGCCCTATTCATTCTGCAGGTACACCCACTACTTCAGCGTGCGTGCAGCTCGCCTGTGGGCTGCTTGCACCCGCGAGGTTGAGCCGCCCGATGAGCCTCCCACTGCTGCCGTTGCTCTCACTGAGCCCTGGTCATCTCCCGCGGGCACCCAGGTCTCCACCAGGCTTCCCCGCACTTTCGGCTCCACCTCCGGCATCCCCGGTACCTGCTACCTCTCCATCGCCGATGATGCCTGCTGCTCGTTCGGCGCCCATGGTGCCTTCAGCACCCATGGTGCCCATGGCGCCCACCACGACCCGAGCACCACCGACGGCGTTCAACAAACCCTCTGTCACCCAAGTCTACTCCCGGCGCTCCTGCTCCAAAGCACCTTCACCGACGTCTCCCATTTGCTGCTCCCTCCGGGCTCGAGCATCGTCCCTTCACCACCTCACTACGTGAAGGCTGCTCCTCCCCTGTCGGTGTTGTTCCCATCCCACCGGCCGCCAACTCCCATGGCATCTTGACCCGTGGGAAGTGCAGATATCACCAACCGCGCCTTCATCTTCACACCGAGGCGTTGTCACCCATTCCTCGGTCTTGTCGTGGACGCCTCATCGATCCTCATCAAGGCGTCGCGCCATGGAAGAACATGCAACTCTTATTGAGAACCACACTTGGGACCTCGTTCCTCGCCCTGCCAAGGCAAACGTGGTCACTGGAAAATGGATCTTCAAACACAAATTTCATGCTGATGGTTCCCTGGACAGATACAAGGCTCATTTGGGTTCTTCGAGGCTTTACAACGGCCAGTGTCGACTATGATGAAACCTTTCACCCCATTGTCAAACCCTGAATCGTCTCGCAGACGGTTATCACTTTGGCCCACTCTCGGGATTGGCCTATACATCAACTTGATGTGAAGAACGCTTTTCTTCATGGGGTTCTTTCAGAGACCGTCTACTGTTCGCAGCCCACAGGTTTCACTGATTCTGCTCTTCCCAATCATGTCTGCAAGCTGAACAAGTCCCTGTATGGTCTGAAACAGGCACCACAAGCACCACGCGCTTGGTACAGTCGGTTTGCTGCTTATTTGGTCACTTTGGGCTTCTCTGAAGCTCGCTCGGACACCTCCCTGTTCATCTACCGCCGGGGTGCTGACACAGTCTACCTTCTTCTTTATGTTGATGACATCATACTCACTGCATCCTCCCAGCAGCTTCTCAGCCGTGTTATTGATGCTTTGAAGAAGGAATTCGCCATGAAAGATCTTGGTCCTCTTCATCACTTCCTTGGCATGTCAGTTCAACGACGAGGTGCTGCTATTTTTCTCTCCCAACGGCAGTATGCTCTGGATATCTTGGCTCGTCATTTTCTCTCCCAACGGCAGTATGCTCTGGATATCTTGGCTCGTCATGGCATGACTGATTGCAAACCTTGCTCTACCCCTGTTGACACCTGCGCCAAAGCCTCTGTTGATGGTGGTCCTGCTGTTGCTGATCCTACAAATTATCACAGCCTTGCGGGTGCTTTACAATACCTCACTTTCACCAGGCTCGACATTGCCTACGCAGTCCAGCAGATCTGTCTTCACATGCATGATCCTAGGGAGAGTCACCTTGCTGCTGCCAAACGAATCCTTCGATACCTTCAGGGCACTCTGGACTATGGCCTGGCCATTCCTCGATCATCCCCTACTCAACTTATTGTATACACGGACGCCGACTGGGCCGGCTGCCCAAACACTCGCCGCTCCACCTCCGGCTACGTTGTCTTCCTTGGAGGCAGCCTCGTCTCCTGGTCTTCTAAGCGACAGCACACCGTTTCTCGGTCCAGCGCCGAGGCCGAGTATCGGGCTGTCGCCGACGGTGTCGCCGAGGCCTCCTGGCTGCGGCAACTACTGCAGGAGCTGCATCAGCCGCTACAGTCCGCCTGCCTCGTCTACTGCGACAACATCAGCGCCGTCTACCTCTCCACCAACCCCGTCCAACATCAGCGAACCAAGCACGTGGAAATCGACCTCCACTTCGTCCGGGAACGGGTCGCCATTGGGGCTGTCCGTGTGCTCCACGTTCCCACACCACGCCGCACCAATTAGCGATGATGTCTTCACCAAGGGCTCCCTTCCTCTGTTTTCCTAGAGTTTCGCTCCAGTCTTAACGTTCGTCCTAGCGACGTTCCGACTGTGGGGGGTGTTAGAATATCTAGTTTCTATGTGAATGCTTCTACTCTACTTATGAATGCGCCACCTCCTCCAGGCTGGCTTGGCCCTTTGGGCTCCTCTGTAATCTATCACTCTAGTCTAAACTGGCCCCTTCGGGTCTGGCCCCTTGGGCACCTCTGTATCCTAGGCTATATATGTAACCCTCTTGTAACATAGCTTTTCATTGACAATATCTTCAGCCTGTTAGGCTTCTATCAAGATCAAAGAAGTTTGACTTGATTAGAATCCTAAAATAACCTACATTTCGAATTGGAGTAGCTCGATAACTATTTCTATGTTAGGTTTCTATATTAGATTCTGTGGTTCAAAAAGACCAGCTTTCCTTTCCTTGCTGAGCCTCTTTGGCTAAGTTCGAGTTCCCCTTCTCGCCTTTCTCAGGCTCTGTACAGTTTTTCTGTTGTCTCTTTTGTTTTCCTCTATTAGTTTGTACAGTTGTTCAGTTGTTTCTTATTTTTAATAAAATTCTTACAGCGGGGGCCTCCCCTGCTGTATTTCCGAAAAAAAAAGTAATTCCTTTTTATGGCATGGAACTTCATGTGTCAGCAATTTGCAGCTAGCGTATTCATTTTTTTCCTTGAAATAGGTATAAAACAGAGCGTGGTGAAAGGTTGGAGCCTATTGAAGAAGTGACTGTTGAGGTATAAGAAACTATGGTTGAATCACCTAATTTATCTTTGTTTTCTTCTAATATTAATTCTGAATACCAATGAGATATTGTAGGTGGATGAAGAGCATGTGGGATTCGTCTTGGAAACCATTACACACAGGAAGGGTGAAGTAGTTGACATGGGCCCGGTTCCTGGGACAACTGGAAGAACTCGAATCTTCATGACCTGTCCATCTAGGTCAGTTGTTGGTATTGTGTGCTAATGATTAGTTACACCATAGAACCTAGAAAAGCATGTATGGTATCTGCTGAATAACTGTCTTTAGGCTGTAGCCTAAGTTGTTCATGCTTACGGAATACCTATCCGCCTGTTCCCAGCAGGGTTTACTGCATAACCAATCAGTGTGGGATTCCAGAGTTTCTTTTTCCTTCTGTGGAGTATTAAACCAGTTCTGTTATCGTAGTATCAAATGATCTATTGTGGAATGCAGGGGTTTGGTGGGTGTCAAAGGAATTTTCAGCAGCTTTACACGTGGAACTGGATTTATGCACCGTGCTTTCCAGGGTATGATGCTATATTTTTATTGATAATTCAATTCAGTGCTAGCTCACATTCAAGTCTGTAACTGATCTATGCTATTGCTAGAACTTGAAATTACTTTCATCCGAACATGGAGGCAAATAATGAACTGGCTTGCCAATTTACTCATCTGTAGGTTTTAATGATATGTGAGCGCTTAGCAGAGATGTTATTTTTGTGTAGTTAATGTTCTAATGCTCATTGAAAAGTCAGAGATTAAACGTAAGCTCTGAAATGATGAATGAAGATAAATGATCTTATAAGTTGAACATAACTATTAAATGGGGAGGACCCAAATTAACCCTATCTGGAACTTTGTGGTGAAGTGGTAGAGTCTCTCCACAAGATTAAACAAAAGTAGGGCTGTTTAGAAATTCCCTTTCCGACACCCACCATGTGTGGGAGCTTTCAACACTGGATGCACACTTTTATGTAACTATAGCTTGCTAGATTTAAGCATTTGTGAATCATGTCACTCTTTTTATCATGGCTAGATGGTAATTGCCCTTATGTTTACACTTGCAGTGTGTACAACACATATGTGCAGGTTGTAAATCAGTAACATGATGTTAGTTGTGACATAAGATGAGCATTGAGCAACATTGACTGCTTTGTTTGGCCATTAGTCGAACAAGTTCAAATTCATTTGTACCTTCTGCAATGTGTACCTGAGTCATATCGCATTAATTTGTTTGCATGAGCAAATCAGGTCATTATCATATGAAAATCTGGATGGTGTGGGTGCGTGGGTTTGTAAGGGCTTTTACCCCTTCTTTTTTTTAATATAATGACCCAGCTCTCCTGCATGTTCAAAACAATTGAATCTTACTAATTGCTGAGGACTAACTAGACTTGATGGTTATTTGACGAATTGACGTGTGGTTTCCTGTGATTGCAGCATATGCTAAATACAGAGGTCCACTTGGCAGTGTCAGAAAGGGAGTTCTGGTAGAGCCATTTTCTTCAACTTCATAATTTTCTATTCTATCATGTCCTCTTTGTTTGCCAAACATGTGTTCAAAGAATTAGAAAGCTAATGAGATACTCCTTTAGCAAATAATTTTGCACAACTGAACAAAAAGGGGTCCTGTTGAATGTTGAATAAAAACAAGACTAAATGTCACTGTGCTGTTCAACTCTGACTCAAATTTCTCTATGTTCATATATAGATATCTGTTGGTAAGGGACTTATCACTTCACATGCCCTTATGAGTTTAGAAGCTCGCGGGATCCTCTTTGTATCTCCTGGAACGGAGGTAACTTTAGTACATTTTATTGTGAGCTACTATCTTGGGTAAGAGTTGTATTAACCCCTCTTTCGTCCTCCTGTTTGAAAGGCATATGAAGGCATGATAGTTGGTGAGCACTCACGTGACAGTGATCTTGAGGTAAGATGATTAAATACAAATCACGGCCTATTTCTTTTTCTCTTTCCATACTTGAAATCAACGTCCCTTTGGCAGGTGAATCCTGTGAGAACTAAAGAACTTACAAACATCCGAGCCCCGGGAAAGGATGAAAATGTTCGTTTGTCTCCACCTCGATTGGTATGTTCTTTTTCGCTCTTTTACTGAGATATCATGAGAGATGGTGTTTCTTTTCTGTAAAGGAAACACAATACTGCAACGCCTCATCAATTGGTTAATTGTCCACTGTGACTTAGATCAGCCATGCAAATTCTAGAACCTATTATTGCCATATGATATTATGTTCACACATTGGGGTTCGAGATCTGATGAGAGCAGAGGAAAAATGAGGCTTGTTTTTTTTTTATTTGTTTGTTTGGTGAAAAGTTTAACATTCCTCTAGCTATCACAAAATCTTAAAAGAAATTGTTGAACCATGCAGATGAGTTTGGAAGAGGCAATTGGATATGTTGCTGCAGATGAGCTTATTGAGGCAAGTATCATAAGTTCTTAATTCTTGAAACAAAGAATCCTATAGAAATTTCAGCTTTTAATTCTATTTTGTAAGGACTGGAACAAATGTACATGGGCATTTCATTCTTCTACAACCACCAAGTCTTGTTCCAATTCTTCTCTCTTGGGTGGTCTCTATAGATCAGAAATCAGATATCCTCCCGGTAACGTTAGTTTCTGGAAGGTTTTGTGGGGGTTATTGACAATATTGGACACACTAAATCTCTAAACCAAATGGAGATCCTGCAGCCTAGGGTAGAATGCAGTATTATTTCTGTGCGGCTATGCAAAATGATCTCTTGCAGCCAGATAGGGTGTGATGTCACCTTTATCAGATAGTGGAAATGAGTATCCCTAGGCACATCAATCGGTGTTACAATTACATACATGTATACAATAGTCAGTGCTAAAACGAAGAAAATATTTAATAAGCTCTTTCATGTATTTTGGAATTAATAGAAGGTAGGTTTGTTTCTTTAACAAAAGTATCATCTGCAGTATTTTGCTAGTTTAGTTTTGGTGATTCCTTGAAAGTGCAGGTGAGTCCAAAGAGGAAATATAATCACCTAATCTTTATTAAAGAAAGGAGTTCTCTTATTACTTGATTTACAATTTTGTTCCTGAAGCAACTGGCATTTAGTACCAATCTTCTTTATATTGACATTTGAGCCTCGTCAGGTTACTCCCAAGGTTGTACGTCTTCGGAAGAAGTACTTGGATTCCACTAAACGTAAGATGATGAAAAACAAGCCCATGGATTAAAACTCCAGAGACACCAACTTACATCAAGCACTGCCAGTACTACTGTATAAGTTATCATCCAAAAGACAGCATTTATGTATAGGTTAGTGTTCAATGTTGAAGAGCAACCAGAGTTCTTCACCAGATAACACATTTTGCCGGCAGTTTCACCCAGGTTTTACGTTCACACAGGATTGGAATGATGTTTCGTGTGGTTGGGTACTAACAGAATAAGCCCATCATAGGAGCTACTGGCGGTAGGATCCACGCTGTAAGCTGGTTATATCTATTTATAGCCTCTTTAACGGTGAATTTTTAAACGCCCTTAGATATACCTTTGAAGGGTGTATTATTCTTTGGAAGTTAAAGAAATGAAAGTGAAAGAAAGGCAGGCCTAGGTATTTTGTTTGAACGGGCTTCTTTGTTGACAATTTTATGAGCATGTGTTGTGAGAAATGCAAGGGAACAAATAAATTTGTAACCTGTAGCGTTGTTACACCAGCATTGATCAATACAGGATGAATTTGCGATTGTCCATACTTTTTTCCCTTTTTTTTTTTTTTTATTTTTGGTTAGTGATGGTCTGTTCGAACCGTTTTGTATTTTATCCTGTAACTTAGCATAATCAACAAACTCATGGGATTACTTTGGTTGTCATTTAAAAAGCGTTCGATGTGTCTTTTGATTTGCACAAATTCATCACATGCTTAATTTGGTTTATGGATATGGATTGGCAAGCGAAAGCAATCTCGCATCTGCTCTCTGCTGTGTTAGTTTTGCTCCGAGCGGTGAGTGGCAGGTAGGACGCCAACAAATTGGCTTTGATTTGTAGCCCTGGGCCTTGTAATTCCTTGCTCCAAGCGGTGTGTGGTGTGTTGCAGGCTTAGAGGCTGTTTCGATGAATTAGAGCTAGTTGTTAATTGGACTAAAAATTAGTCCAAATTAGCGGTTGGGTAACTAGTTGGTTAACTAGTTAAAGATTAGCCCTCTTGTTTCAATGTACTAGAACTAATTTAAGCTAATTTTTAGCTAAGCTAGTGATTAGCCCTTGTACCAAACACTGGCTCTTTCACACATTGCAATATGTAGCACTCGTTGTCGACGCCGGGCAGCAGCAACATACGTTGGTGGATCAACCGTTATCTATTGGGGTAGGGCAGCACGTCCACGTCGGAGCTCATGCTAACGTCCAAACAGTCCCACTACCCGCCATTATTTTGTACAGTAAGTTAAACAGTCCCACCACCGATCATTTTCACCAGCATCGACGGCCAGGAAAAAGGAAGAGCCAATTTCGCATAAGCTGATCTTGCTACTATTCAATTTTCCCAAGCTCAAGTTTACAGGAAGCCACGACCACAAGACCACGTTACTGCTGTCAACGCATATTTTATGGAAATATAGAATAGAGACTGGGTTTATAAAAAGATAACTTGATGCATTATAAATAAATATCCAATGCCTTCATGCCTACGTGGACTCGTGGCCCATGATTATTGCTGTTACTTCCGTGCTTCGGACTTCCTCTGCTCCTTGGCTGCCGTAAACAAAATAAAATTCAGTGCGTGCCATAATCAACAAACAAATGAATTTCTATACGTTATATGCCCGACTGATAATACCAAGAGCTCAAGCAATGAGATACGAGCCAATGTAAAGTGCATTGTACAAAACAAAGTTACCACATGTTTTTGGAGAAATTCTTAAACGTAAATATCCATAGGTCAAACAGAAACATGCAAGAAGCAAGATAAAGAAAGGGATGTACCAGCTTTCTCCTCTTCGCGTTTCTTTGCAGCATCAGCCCTTTGCTGTCTTATTAAAGCAAGACGTTCTGCATCCAGAAAATTATAAGGTTTATGGCTCTTTGAAGTTCAGGAGCAGTGTTTCAATACTGACAACAACATTTGATGAGATTGCACGCATTTAGACAATTTATATCAACTATGAACACCCAAGAGCTGCGCTTGAAGTAGCAGGAAAAGAGTGAATGGCAGGTGTGCATCTTAGCTTCAAAATTGTTTAGTGCATGAAATTCCACAATTGCAGAACATCTAAGCGGGAAATACTTTAATTCATAAGTTAAATTTGGGTGGAAATTCAGCAGTGAATGCAGCAAGGAAGTCTTCATATAACCATAAAACCACTACCGAAACGTGACAAATTTAAAATGTAGACTGAGAATGCTTAAAACTTGAATAGAAGTAAGAGCTAATAAGGCTGTGCTTATAAAAATAAGAAGGTAATACCATCGTGTGGTTGTCTATTTCATTAGCAATTTAGCATGGATCCTTTTACCTGTATGTAATGCACATTAGGCATTGTGAAAAGTGAAAAGTGAAAAGTTTAACGCTAGTCATGGCGAGCTTCAGATGGATGTTGATATTTATTCAGATTATTTTTACTAGTACCCTGTATCAGGCTACCTCCTTCAATGTAATGTATGTTTTTACAAAACAAAATGGAAACTGTGATGATACTTCCAGAAGCAGGCTGAGGCTACAGGTTGCTGTGATCTTGTGCATTTTAGAAATACAAAGCCATAACAGTAGAGTATCAGCAAGTGTAACAGAGTTCTCACCCAAATCTTTCCGTGATTGTTCTGTTTTTCCTTGCTCCTGAAGCTTCATATAACGTTCATGAGCTTTTTGTTTCTCAAGCTCCTCTCTACAGAATGAACATGATAATATGTAAATAGAGTCGATGTATAAGAGCACGTTAAGATAGTAAGCTCATCCCGACCACCCATCAATGGCCCCTTTTCAGTAATAGGTGAAACATTAACATCAAGAATATGTTTATGCCAAGACAAACAAATGCCTAGGTAGTGAGATAAACATAACAAGACAACTTAGTTAGGTGATCTCTTGCAATTCATAATCATTTAACATCATTTGCATGTGTGTGGCGATTTGGCACAAAAACAAAAGGCTGTCCATTGCATATTTTATTTCTGCGCTGCTCGCAGGCTTCAGTAAGCAGTTTTTCTCATGCCAAATGATATTAGGAAGAAATAGGTATAACAGGGAAAATGAACTGCAAATATCAAAACACAAATTTATTGCCGGTTGAAAAATAAGACAACGGCACATTTTTTTTAGCTCAAATAAGGAAGTGCACCTTTCGCGCCTTGAGAGTTCAGTTGTCTTTCCAAGCTGTAAAATGAATGCTTAGTTGGGCATATGGTAAAAGATGATTCAAATAAAAGAGTATGACTAAGTAATGCAGCAAAAGTGCTAACAACAATTTGCCTGAGTTACATGGATACATCAGGTCACCCCTGTATCCTGTATCAGATACGTATCCGATACATATGTGTGGGATACAGCATGGAGTTGTCTCCATGGAGTATTGGCGCAAAAATAAATAATAGAATTTCAGATACGTGGTCGGAGACGTGTTGAGGTGTCTTTTTCCTCCAATACATAGGAGAGCTGTGTATTATTGCATTAAGAAGAAGAGAACTTAAAAATACAACGCACGCAAAAACACACACACTATACCCACGCACAAATGCACAGATTAGAGAGCTACAATCGTGCCCGTTTCTTCAAAGAACACAACCCAATTTGACAGCTAAGCGAACCTTCTACCTGGCTGCTACCAATCGGGCTAGCCCCTTGGCGCCAGCAATGCACCAAAGTTGAGCCTCCTCAAGGATATTTCTAAACACGAGTTGTATGTTGGGAATAGCTCCATTAAACACATAGTTGTTACAATGTTTCCAAAGAATCCAAGCACCGAGGATAATCAGCGAATTCAAGCCACGCTTTAAGTCCTCAGGGAAGAGAGCAATGATACATATCCACCATTTAAAGAATTCAAGCCATGTATTGAAGTGTTTTGTGGATATGGCCCAGCCCAGTCCAGTAGGTCCACTGTAACCCCGCCGTGGCGAGCCAGGCAGCCAACAACGAACGTGCACGCCGCCACCCGCCCGACTTCCTGTTCACCCAGCCATCCGCTCGTCCCCGCCCATGAGATCGAGCACTGGCCGCATGCTCGAGCAGGCATCAGCTGCGGTGATGCACACCACCCATTTGTGGACGCCTCACGCACGCGGCGCTGCGACGAGCTTCACCACCCGCTGGTGATAAATCGATGGTGAGCCGACCAACACGAGTTAGTGGTGATTTCTTCCCTGCTTCCTCTCCTCTCTTGTAGCCACTCCCTACCACGCCCCCACCCGCCTTCCCCATGTCAAAATACTGTAGACTCATTGAAATGCTGTCAGATTAATCTCGTCTGCAACTGGAGTTGAAAGGGGAAAGGAATTGGATCAGTGATTTACTCATCTCCTCCAAGCCTTGGATTCTCATTTGGATTTTGCAAGTTTGAATTTGAGAATTTTGGATATGCTGGACAGAACATCACAATGCAAGAATGCAAGGCAATTTCAAGTTCCTGCTTGTGTGTTACTGCTTTTAGAATTTTAATATGCCTTATTATTTATTTATTAAAAAATACTAAAACGTATCCGTGCATCGGTTTTTTAGATAAATATCGTATCCGCATATTCATATCCACCCGATACTGATACGTATATCCGTATCCGTGCTGCATAGAAATTAGCTATACACAGCAAAATAATTGTGGGAGTCAAATCCAGCAGGATAACATCATAACACATTGTACGATAATGAATTTCATAGGCAAGTAGATACCAAGGGATGTTCCTCCTTGATTATACAAGATTAAAAATAACAACAATGCATTTGTATACCATTATGGCTATGACAACATATGGAAGGAAAAACTGGGAAACTGTGAAGCATAGTTGCCTCCTAAAAGCATGGTGATATTAAGATTAGAGAATAAACAAAGATGCTACCAGTAGCCAGCAACTTACGTCAACTTCCTTGGCCTTTATATTCTTGGCTTTCACTAAGTTTGGATTTTCAATCTGAATAATACCCTCAGTACCTTTATGTTTCTGGGAATATCAAGGTAGCATATCAGATCATTACGAATGAAGCATACACATGAGTATAAGCTAGCTGGATTGGAAAGTCCTTACAGGTTTGTCATCAGACTCGTCTTCAGATTCTTCCTCCTCGGACTCTTCTCTTTCTTCCTGTTCCTCCTCTTCCTCTTCCTCCTTCTATTTAATTTTCAAAAATCAAAAGAAACCAATTGTTACAGCAAGAACATATAAGCCACAATCAAATTTGCAGCTAGGTAATGTCCAAATAGATGAGTTTTTTATTTAGTAAGTATGCCTAGCTGATGAAACTTTTACAATGACATTGAATAATGGAACCAAATTTGATCATGATTCTTTATTATATGCATTGCTTGCATTATATTGAGCAAAGCAATAGCTAAATTGTGCTAGCATCATCAGAGTTTTAAAAAAAAAAGCTCAACAACAAAGAATGCCTAACACTTTTGGAACAATATGATTGCCAAACTAAAAAATTGGGAATTTAATTGCAATAAGGGCATAGCACAAATCTTGCACGGTCCACGCCAAACATAATTACTCCATAAAACTATCAAATCACTGTACCAATTCTAGAAAGTGATCTTCCATGGGGCAATATGAAATATGAATTGGAGAAAGCTGTTAGCTATATTTAATATTATCAAAAGCAAGTGATGAAGAAATCCATTTTGACTCATAGGAGTGCAAAAAGGTTGCAGGGAATAAAAGTAACACTCATCATGTGGATGAAACTAATTGAATGAATAGTACAGACCTTCTTAAAGGTGCGTGGGCGGCCTGAAGTACCAGCAGCTGCAATTATTTGGAGGGTAAAAAAGTTTATCAGAAACCAGCAAAAAAAGATGCCCTTAGCAGGACAACCACACGAAGTAACCATCCATATCCCCAAGTAGAAATTTGTAAACAAGAAGAGGCTAAGGACGTGTTTGTTTTGCAGCGTGGGAAATATGCCTGCACCAGGCAAAGATCTCAGGTGTCCATTTTCCTATGCCTGTGGTTAAGCGAGCTGCCTGACTAAGCCTGCCCAGGCCATTATAGCAACCAAACAAGCCCTAAGTGTAGCATTTCTTTCCTGTATCCAGCCTCAACAAGCTTTTATCTGATGCCAGATACAGTGTGCTAATTGATTTATCACTGCGTTTAAACTTCACACAAACCCTTTTCGGTGAAGATCTCTGACAGTGAAGGAGAAATAAAGCTACATCTGAATCAAGAGCAGAATAGTATCAAGTTTCCTACTGCATCATTGTTGGATGAATAAAAGCAACTAAACCTTTGAAACACAAATATGAACCAAACTGCACGTGCAAGCAGGTAACTGAGCCTCTAAATCGAACAGATCAACAAATCATCGTTCCTCCAACGATCCGAGACACCATCGAATCCCATGGAAACCTCGCGGCACAGATTAAAAGCAGGAATCTAAGTGGCAACTCGCAGCAAGCTACTAGATGGTTTGAATTCTGCTCGGCCACGCAAACCCGGCCAAGAACTAGCTCACCCGGGAATCAACAGATCAAGCAGTCGCCTAGGCTCACCGTGGCACGCTCCAGACATGAAATCGAATTCGACCTACAAACGGGAAAAACGGAAAGGGGGGCGAGCGAGCGCATCGTTACCGATCTCCTCGGGCGTGGAGAAGTTGCGGCGGCCGGTGGGCTTTCCCTTGAACTTTCCCCTCCCCATGGCGGCGGCGAGCGAAGGGCGGGCGAAGCTGGTGCAGATAGAGAGCGAGCTGGAAGGAGCGGAGGCCGGAGGGGTTCTCGCCTAGGTTGCACGCTGGGTGGGCACTGACTGAACCGCGGAAAGGAATCGGAAACCCTACCCCATTTACACTGGTGGGCTGGGAATCGCGGGGTGGGGAATGGGCAATTCGGCAGTTCGGCCCTCCAGACAGACATCAGACTCGAGAGCCCGCCAAACGGTGCGGTGCGACTTGCCAGATACGAGCGACCGCGCCGCTGCGAGCTATAGAGCCACAAAATGGGTCGCTAGCACGCCAACACGTGCGCTGTTTCAGTTGTTTACTCGGTCCCTAAATAAATAACTGTCATGGTTGGTGTGCGTGTCACAAATTTAACTTGATTTATAGAAAATACGTATAATATTTGTATCTCTAAATAAATTTATTAAAAAACTAGATTCAAAAATTTCCAATGATACTAATTATGTACCATAAATATTAATATTTTTAATATATATTTACTCAAAGTTATTTCTCAAAAAACGCAAACGACAGATATTTAGAAACAGAGGAAGTATAATTTAGTACTATTCATGATTACGATTGTGTAATTGGATTGTAAATAATCCAGCAACCTACTCTTCCTGCTTACAGATTGTGAAATCAAAATCAAACCTCTTCCTGCTTACAGATTGTGAAATATAGAAAAAATCAAAGTAGAAATCTAAGTTGAAGGTATTTAGCCATATGGAGTTACGCTATCCATCCATATCTGTATGGCGTATCATTTCGTTTTATTCTCTATTAATTGCCTTTTACACGTATACATGGAACTTCTTTTTCTACTTTTTTTTTCTCCACTCGAATAATCCTAGCTTAGTCTCGTCTATCATGTGCTACCAGGAAGGCACCCTCCTCTCTAAACCAAACCTTGCACGATGCGAGTGGGATCTTTTCGACTCTGTTCGCTTCGTTGAAAAAACAAGCCGAAATACTGTTCCGGCTAATTTGTTGTGAGAGAAAAAAGCTGTTCCGGCTGAAAAAACAAGCTAAAAAATACGAATCAGAAGCCAAGCGAGAACATGACCTTCGTCCCACCTAGCGGTGGTTCACTCTAGGCCCGCTTTCCTTGCCTTTTGCTTCAAACTGTTGTGTCCGGTAGCTAGTGTTATCTCTTTCTCGCACCCCTCCTCGTCATCCACCCACCTGGCCTTGTTGCGGCCAAGTTCACATTGCAAGGTGCAGCATTGGCAAGTGGTGGTGGCAAGCTCATGATATGAGGGCGCGAAGGAGAAGAGGAGTGTGGGGGCAACGCTTGATGACAACTGGGGAGGAAGAGGAGCTCGAGTGGCACTTGGGCAACCTCATAACGATGCTCATGTCTAGCTCCATCATTGTGTCATGGCCGAGCCTATTGGCCTCCCCCTTTCTCCGTGGCAAAGGTCGCCATGACCATCTTCTTTGCCTTGAGCGGCCGACACTTCGAGCCCCACGACTGATAGGTCAAAAAAATGTTGTCCACCCTCTCCTTGCTTCCTAATAAACAAATAAATGGAATTGTTCTATCCAGAACCAAACCACTGGTGATCATTCCATCCTAAAACTTGGGGACATAACCATCCATCTCCGGCTGCCTCCAGATCAAACACATGCATGCTTACATTTTTCAAGCATGTATGCATGGTCTAGATTCAAATAGATTCTTAGATCGGTCCATTTAGGATTAGGCGAAAGTTATATATATTGGGCTCAAAGGGATCTTTGGGGAGACTAGTTGGCCCTAATGTATGTAGACGGTGGTGGGACCACAATGGCATTGCCTGCCCCAAAGATAGAGGATAGTTGATAGGCAGTGAAGGTCCCCATGGTCATCATGCTTTTTGCACCCAATGATGGCAACAATAAGAAATATCACTTGTCATGGGCATAGTTGGAGCTAATGAAGGCAGAGACTATAGGGTGAATTGACTACGATCAATTTAGATCACTTAGAGCTAAGGATTAGCTTCTAAAAGTAGTAGAGGTCCCGTTTAGATCTCCAGACTTATCACTTATGAATGTTTTACCTGCCAAGACTTATCACTTATGAATGTCTTACCTACCATCCAACTAGCAATTAGTTGTTAGCCTATTTTTTCAAACTAACACAACCAATAGTTAGTTGATAGGATCCAAACAGGACCTAAAATTGATGGAGGAAGGGGGGAAAATTGTTCTTCTGCGCTCTCACCCTCAAAACACATAAAAAGGGGCAATAAAATTACAACAAAAATATGAATAGATAGATCATGTGATGCACTGTCATCATGCAAAATTTAAGGTGTGACAAACAGGTAAGCCAACGGATGAATTCCCCAAGATAAGTGTTTCAAATTTCTTTTTTTTTTCTTTGAAACGAGGAGGATATCCCCATTCCCATTGAAACCATCGGGAATACTTGCTGGACACCGGGTTCGAGCCCGGGTGGCCGAGCTCACAGCTGGAGCGTCCGACCAAACGAGCGACTCGCTCGATACTCGTATATGATGAAGTTAGAAGATCGGGCTTGTCGTTGCCTGAAATGATAAAAGCACCCCACCACTTCCTTTACGAGCATCCATAACCATGACCATGACCCATCTGGCAATGGTATATTTCTCTATCGAGGCAGATTCTCACCCGAATCTTAGAGCCTCGTCAGGAGATGGACAAGGAAGAATAACTTCTCTTTCAGAGCGAGACAGCTGGGACCATATGTCCATAACGAACTCGTGATGGCTCTGTGCCATCTCTATTCACTGGGCCCAACAATTCATTTCGGCATCAGTCACTAACCACTAAAAAGTAAAACTATTCTCTATTCACAACTCACCATTTTGGCATCAGCCACAGCAGCGATCAGAACAAAACTATTCGAAAGTTTGGCATCAGCTGCTCCAGCATGGCAGCATTCAAAACAAAAGCATTCATTCATTCAGTGATTATCATATAGCGACTTCTCTCTTATCGGCTTTTGTTACCCGACATGTAAAAAACAACTCACGAACCTGCAACTGCAAAATACCACCAGGAGTTTTCAAGAGCGCAATTGGAGTTTGAGGATACAGATTCCACCCAGATTCAGAACAGGATATTGATGGACATACAACGTGACAGATAAATGGAGCCACCAACCTGACAGGTTACTCGTCCACCAAACCAGAGATTTACCTTACATACAGCTGCACATCGAGGAGATGCTATTTTCATGATACGCCTATATTACAAGTTTACAACGACAACGTTTCACAGATGTTTCCTGTAGATTGGGCCAATTACAATTAATAAAAGAAGATGGTGGGTCATGCTAATAGAGTAGACCCAATAATCATAGCGGTAGCGGGAACTGTTAGAACTTGAAGGCCAAATACGCCATAAATTGAATATGTGTTTATCTTCTCATGTCCCATCATTTGAGTTCCAATAAAAGTCACTTCTTTCAGTCGAGTAACCATACGGCAGATGAGGCCCATAAACGACACTACCGTTCAAATATGTCATCTGGTCCACTTGTGACCCTGGCTGATAAGCATTTGGAACATTAGCTTGAACTGTGGTGTTTGGAACTGAATAGATGTTAGTACTGGCATCTATCGGGTTAGCCTTTGTCCTGCTCCGGGCCGTCCGTTTGGTGTCTACAGGACTGTCTGCACTGAGTCTAACCATTTGCTGCTGAATTTCATTCAGTGGATTACAAGCCAATTTTGATTTAGCAATCTTCTTTGCATCTGAAGACTTGAATTCAAGCCGGTATAAGGCAAAAGCATCACACTCATTGATCTCATATTCATAGAGGTGCCATTCATAGCTGTTGGATGGCTGTGGATCCATGTAATAGGACCTCTTCAGACCCCCAAAGTCCTTCATCACCTGCTTCCTAGATTCATGCCAACCACGGCCGCTGTAATCTGGCAAGGACCGCTGCTTCCGATTTCCACTATCAAATGCCCTCCTCGGTTTGTCAAAAAACAACCATTCTCTGATAGATTCACCTTCAAAGATGTAAAGATCGAAAAGTTCTGCAATGATACAGAATGGCTAACTATTATTAAAAACGTTCATCAGTACCATGCGAAGGCACAAGTCATGAAGGAAAAGCTTACCAGGCGCATTCCATGGAGACTTTGCAGTAGCAGCTCCTTCACAGATAGGGATCCCAACATTTTTTCCTTGGATTTTTGCACTAAGAGCAGCAAACAGGGGGCCATCTTTCAGATCAATGCCTCTTGGACGGATCACAGGCATTGTGCCTGGAGGACCCTCTTCCTGCACAGCTAAATCAGCATGATACACGCTGCAATAATCATGCCATCTTTCTGATCCAATAGCAGGCCTGGGGCAGTCCCAGAGAGCACATTTTGGCTTCAGGAATGCAGAAGGTGCTGAAGTCATTGTTGTGAGCAAATCTGCCATGTGCAGGAAAACACCCCCAGCACTCTGTCCACTGTTACTCATGTCAAGGTACGCGTTAAGGGCTAACTCTTGCGGCAAATTGAACTGTGGATATTCCAGCTCAACAATCCCTTCCAGATTATTAAGGACATCCAGATTAGACCCAGAAAGGTCTATCTTGTAATCATCATCATAAAGAAAATCCTCAACCGTAAGTTCCTGGTTCACATAGTACATCTGCAAGAAGTAAGATGAGAACTTGTTAAAATTGGCACAACTCCACTGATTTTTTTTTTAATTGGCAGAAAGGTATAGTCACTAAACATGTCAATTACATGCATGCTAGAATTACTTATAAAGCAGTGCATATAGCATCTAAAATGTTGCAATATCTAGGACTAAAGAATTACTCCCGCTGCCCCAAATTGTAAGTCATTCTGGTTTTTTTAGGTACATAGATTTTCCTGCGCACCTAGATGTAAATTATATCTAGATACATAGTAAAAGCTATGTACGAAAAGCCAGAACAACTTACAATTTGGAACGGAGGGAGTAGTACTTAAATGCTAAGGAGGTACATAAACAACAGGAAGTGAAAAATCAAAATGGGCGCCATACTAACCTACCGAGACAGAGCAAAACATCCTTGTACACCACTGGAAAACAGAAGGTTGTTGTTTTCTTCTAAAAAGACAATAGAAATACATTGACCCCTGCCATTTCCAAAATCCATTGCATGCTGCATACATTTGTTACTATTGACCTCTTGCCTAAAACAATGAAACTGTAAGCTCAAATATATTTATCCTATAGTTCTAGTTCTCTAGAAACTGTGAAGCTTTCTATACTTGTGTCAGCATTAAGAATCGCTAATATACTTAGTCCAACTCATTATATAGAAAATGTTCAGTGGGGAAAAAAAGTAGGCCTCTACCACCTTTCATTAATTAGTATTACACTAATAAATTGTTATGGCTGAGTAAAATCATGCAAACATGACTCTGCTAGTGACTTGAGAACTCTGACACATATCAGTTAGAAAAATTATAAAACGGGAAGATATTTCAAGGAAAAGCACAACTCAACTCCAATTTTACCCTGGGCCTGTCATGATCCTGGCTACTACTGCCACTGGCTTAGGCTTAGCCAATCTAGTTTGGTCCTCACACCAACCATGTCAGGTCCTCGTGTTCTTTGTCAACCTCACAGCCCTCAAGAGGTCCTCATTGCTTGCCTCCCCCTGGGCATTTACTTCGTTAATCTTATGATGGTGGTAAAATAGATATGCTTTGCTCAGATTTAGTTTTTACAAACTAAAATTACTTAGCAGGCTTGCACTCTGCCCCTTTACTGGTATTAAATTCACAGGGTTAGTCCCTTTCAAGCTCTATAAACTACGCTTCTAGGCTTCTACGAAATCCAGAAACAAATGTCAACTGAAAACACGACATGTCCCACAATTCATCATGTGCATAGATCACTAGATCACTCTCCCAAATATTCTCTCGAGTTTTAAGGTGACAAAGGATCATGATGAATTAAGCGGCAGCATATCCTTTCCTCAATTTTCCTCAGTGTAGTACTGTACTTCCGCTATTTTGTTTCCATACAGCTTAAGTTTCAACAATCTAACTAGGCCCACACAATTAGATTGAGCTTGCAGCCACACATCGCAAAGCTAAGAAACAAGGTGTATAGAGTATGAAGGACGTAAGCAAGGTAACAAAGCAAGTGAAACCAACCACCCAAACTGACAGCTCTCACCTTGAAATGGTCAACTCTTCCTCCTCTATAGTCTCTGTCTTTAGATGTTCAAAAGGCTTAAAGCTATCAATACATTATTATATAGTATTATATTTTCATAGACCATAGTTCATTGAACATATTACATCTTTATCTGCTTTCTTTAGGTTGCAGTCAAGTTTGATATCAAAAGAGGGAGTGTTTAAAAGGCCTCCTAGTATAGATTAGATTGATGGATGTTCTGTTATAGGTTCTAAAAGAATTTCAAAACCAGCTCCGTAAGACTGAATAGGGGTCAATAGATGTTGACTATTGGGGAAAAAGTAACTAAACAAGCATAGATTGGCTAAAGGAGTAGGTGGAATTATGTAGCTCTCGGAGCTGCATGTTGTTCATAGTGGGATGGAAAGCACAGATTTATAGCCATAAACTTCTACTCTACAATGAATAAATTGATAAGAACGAATGGTCCCATCAACTTGAAGCTGAACTCCATCTGTATAAGATCCAAACCAAAACACAGTAGCATTCACAGGAGCCTAGGTAGAACAAGCCTCCATGAAGTGATTGGACATTTCTCACGAATAACCTTCCTTAATTTATTGAAAAAAAACTTGGATCAATATGCAATCCACAGAAAACTTCCATCCAAAACTCAAATAACTTTTGTTTCCCATTGTCAACATGTTGGAGAAACCTTCCCATTTTGTCTTGAAAACAGAGAGCAGAGGCTATGTCCAGTAAATCTGTCCCCAAAGATGCAGAAACTGCCAACAAAGGTTCTAATGAGGGGTAGGTTGCTTGTAGATCACACTAACCCAAACTAAACAATGAGGCAGACCACATGAACATCTGTGCAGACTAGATAAATCTAACTAGATCATTTGAAGACTACGAGTGACACATGATCACACTCTACACAAATCCTCGTATCTGCGCTGAGGACTATAAATCTTCTTCATAAGATCGATAACTCTGCCTGCCAGTCATTCCACTAAGATAAGAAAAAAATGTTCAAACTTGCATACAGCAAACAAGGAGTAATGAAAACCTGATCATGGAACACCGCAGACGCGGTAGCAGCACCATTAGGCAGAACCCCCTGGCTCAGCAGCTGCGGCTGCGGCTGCTCCACAGCGACGTCAACTGCTTCCTCGCGTGGCTCCGGCTTCATGTCCTGGCGGACCTGCGCGTGCCCCTGGTTCTGGTTAGCTGGGGGCGGAGGCGGGGGCTGCTGCTGCTGCTGCTCGACCATCTTGCTCGTGGCGTCGTCCTCCTCCTCGGCCGCCGCCAACTGCAGCAGACGAAGAGTATCCGAAGGCGGATCCGACAGTTCCCTGGCGTTGCCCTGCCGTCAACCACAGCCAACGAACAAAACATCAGCCGCGCCACAAAAAAAAGATGAGGGTGGAATGTGCGGAGGAAGCAAGAGGGACAGTACCTGGAGGGAGGAGGCCGGGGAGGGAGCGCTGAGCTCGGAGCGCCACTCGCGCAGCATCTGCTGGAGCTGCGCCTCGAGGACGGCGGCGTCGGCGGGGCGTGAGTCCTTGCGCGCGGACTGCAGGCCCGAGAAGACCTCCTGGAGGTCGTCGACGCGGGTCATGGCGCGGGCGCGGAACTGCTGGTGCCGCGACCCTGCCCGCGACGACGGCCCCTTCCCCATCGCCGCCGCGATCGGTGAGCTCGTGGTTGTTTTCCTTTCCCCCTCTCGCGCGCCGTCCTCTGTTTCGCAACCGAGATGCTCTGCCGACTTTTCTGGCTGCCACTTTGTTGGGTCGGGGTCGGCTGCCTTGGGAAAAGCGACGGCCGCGGCAAAAGGAGGCGGGCGACGCCGGGGCCCTGCATGCGGATTAGGCATCGCCGCAACGGACTGGCTCGTCAAGGCCGAAAGCGTCGTCCAATAAGAGCAAGGCCGCGAGGCCGACTTGCTGGCGGGAAGGTTTCCTGAAGCCTTCTGTCCTCCCACACATATAGCAGTGACCTCTTTATTATTAAGAAAAAGTTCACATTACTTCTCTTAATTTTTATTAAAATCCGTTTTTCCTTTCTAAACTTTAAAACCGGGCAAAACTATCTCCCTCAACTTTTAAAATCGTTCATCTTACCTCCCTGACCCTCTTATAAGCGGTTTTAAAGATTGTTTTGTCTTTTTGTTTTTTATTTATTTCGGTTGAATTTTTGAAAAATCATAGTAAATAAAAAAAATCATAAAATGGAAAATCCAATTTTGTTGGACTCCACATGAGTAGATCTACACAGTGAACATATAATATGGTATGCTTTAGTACAAAGTTTTTGTTGTGACTTTAGATCTATGTTTTTGTGTAATTAAATAGAATAATTTATAACTGCAGTTTCTATGGTCCAATTATGGTGAAATTTTTATGGTAGATTAATTATTATATGCTTAAACTGTAGTAAAAAATTTCTATTCATTGGATCATGTATAAGTTAGTTATAGATTTTATTTAGGTTTATGCTTGTTAAATATAAATAAATCTATAACTAAGCTATACATGATCGAATGAGTATGAAATTTTTATAGTTCAATCATATAATAATTAGTCCACCATAAAAATTTCATCACAATTAGACCATAGAAACTGTAGCTATGAATTATTCTAATTAATTACATAAAATAATAGATCTAAAGCCACGATAAAAACTTTGTACTAAAGTATATCATATTATATGTTCACTGTGTAGATCTACTCATGTGGAGTCCAACAAAATTGATTTTTTCATTTTATGATTTTTTCTGTGATTTACTATGATTTTTCAAAGATTCAGCCGAAATAAATAAAAAAGAAAAAGACAAAACCATCTTCAAAACTGCTTATAACAGGGCCAGGGAGGTAAGATAAACGGTTTTAAAAGTTGAGGGAGGTGTTTTGCCCAGTTTTGGAGTTCGGGAGGAAAAGTGGACTTTCGTGAAAGTTGATGGAGGTAATGTGGACTTTTTCCTCACTGTTAATATATGGTCCACTCGTCTCTCTTACAGAGTCTCTTGGTTCTTATGCCCAAGCCAGTTGTAAGCTTACAACTCGCTTCTCCTCTTTATCCTCCATTCTCTTCTCTACCTCAGCATTTAGGCAGTTTACAGCCTGTTATTATACTTGCTCTAACAGTGGGAGACGGGAAAGTCGGAGACTACCATCGTCTCGTGACCTAGCCATCTTCGTGTGTTTACACGTTCTCTCCGGTCGATAAAGATTCACCTCCACTCTTGTCGGCTTATTGAAAAGCCCCTCCCTTGCCTCAAAAGAAAAAGAATGCCACTACCTTGGTGACTTGGTGTATCTCCAACTCCAAAAGGTTCTTACCATGGCCCGTGGATTGACTTTCTTAGTCACTAAATTTCTTTTAATTGAACTACAATCTATTATTAATATAGATACATTACAAGAACACCTTGAAGGTGTAAAATACAGGTATATATAAAGATTAACATAGTTATAGGTAGAAGTACAGACGATCTTTGTTGTTCCACTGTTCATAGAACAGCTAAAAGCTCTATTTTGGTTTTGGTGAATTGATGAAATCCTATGTGCTCTAGTGATCATGAGATAGTGAAAGGTCCTTGTTTGGTTTTGGTAATTGAGTGACAATCCTAGGTGGACTAAGTATGTTTATGTGAGATATACACATGATTAGTCCACAGACACATATGTGTGAGCAACATATGCCATGACGGTGATGATGGCTCAAAGATGTTGCAAAGCTCACACATGTGATGATGAAGGAGCTCATTGCACATGAGACATGACATTGAGTCATGTGATCAAGGTGGAGAAGATCAAGACATAACTTGGCTTGATGGACTGGTTGCAAGCGTGAAGGGCAAGTTGGAGGCTTTGGAGCGATGGACCGCGTGGCGGTGAAGCTTGAGCAAGACTTGGCGCCGATGGACGAAGGCAACGATGAAAAGCAAGTGAAGTCAAGATCGATGAACAAATACCATCACGTGATGATATGAAGTGGATCATATCATTTGATGATTGGTTGGTGCATGTGTTGCATCAACAATGGAGGAGATGGAATGGAAAGCGCAAGGCAAAGGTATAACTTAGGGCATTTTATTTCACCGGTCATAGGTGTGTAGAGAAGTTGATGACCGGGTTTAGGATAGATGGCCATACTATCAAGAGGGGCAAACTTATTTCCATATCGGTCATCTAGTGCCACTCGAGTGATCTAACTTTGCATCGTTGCTAGGATCGAGTGGCGCAGCAAGTTGAGTGGTTAACTCCTTGAAAAATGTTTGTGAAAAGCTAACACACGTGCACAAGATGTTGTACACTTGGTGGTGTTGGCACATTTACAAAGGATAAGAAGTTGGTGAAGAAAAAGAGTTGAATGCGCTGGTCACGGGGTGACCGGACGCGTCCGACATGCATACCGGACGCGTCCGGTACTGTCTTCAGGCGGCAGTGTTCCTAACGTGACCGAACACGTCCGATATCGATACCGGACGCGTCCAGTATTCTGGCTAGGCGTGGGCAGAGTTGCCGAGGTGACCGGACTCTGGCTCAGTGGAGTGACCGGACGTTGACCAGTTACTATTCAGCGTCAAGTCAAAGTGATTTAGACCAAAGCTGGATTACAGAGAGCGTCCGAACGCGTCCGGTCGTCACATCGGACGCATCCGGTATGAACCAACAAGTCTTGGTTTTTCAGCGCAATAATTGATCGGACGCTGGGAACATCCGGTCGACCCAAAGCGGCTATGGGAGCTCTCTAGACTCGACCAGACGCTGCGTCTCCTGCGTCGTGGTCCAGTGTGACCGGACGCGTCCGGTCGGCCCAGAGCGGCTCTGGGAGCTCTCTAGACTCGATCGGACGCTGCGTCTCCCACGTCCGGTCATTTTCTAACAGTGCGTTCGATGCGTCGCGTCAGAGCATGTCAGAGAGGGCCGTTGGGCGGTAATGGCTACTTCGTTTGAATGGGACACATGGCGGTCAAGCAGTGACTGGATGCAACAACCGGACACGTCCGGTCGCCACACCGGACGCGTTCGATGCACATAACCTGCGCGTCTGGTCATTCTAAAAAACGCCTAATGAAGGGGTAACGGCTATTTTAGCCCGTAGGGCTATAAATAGAAGTGTTGGTCAACCTTTGGCCGGTAGTTTTATAGAGTTGAGCACACTAGAGCCTTGGTGGCTTATGTGGTAGTACTCGGGAGACCTCCATCTCACATATGCTTGATAGTGATCATATGATTGTGTGAGAGAGCGATTCTAGTGCGATTACATTGTGAGGTTGCATCGAGTGGCACTAGGTGATCGAGTTGCAAGCCGATGGTGCTCGTTACTCTTGGAGATTGCCACCTCCTAGACGGCTTGGTGGTGGTCTCCGTCGAAGCCCGCAAGAAGCTTTTGAGGTGCTCTAGAGAAAAGCTTTGTGAGGGGCATTGTGCTCGCCCCACGGGAGCCATGAAGAGCAACTCTAGTAGAGTGAGACGCGAAGGGCGACAAGTGGTCCGGCTGGGTCAAGTGCTAGAGCTTGTGGTAAGCACTCTACGTGGGAGAGTGTGACTTGCGGGTCACCACTAGCAAGAAAACCGACGACAACCTTGGAGCTTGTCTCAACGGGGACTAGCGTGTTGGCAAGCATATGAACCTTAGGATAAAAATCACCGTGTCAACATTGTTCTTCCCGTTGGTTTGCAATCCCCTTACACAAGCTTGTAATTACTTTCATATACATTGTGCTTGTGTAGTTGCTCTTATAATTAGTTAGCTTGTGTAGCTCACTAGTCACCTTCTTGCTTGTGTAGCATAGAGGTAGCTCCCTTGCGTGGCTAATTTAGTTTGTGTAACCTTGTTAGTCACATTGCTTAGTTTGTGTAGCTAAGAAATTTACGCTCTATAATTTGACTTATGTAGCCTTGTTATTGAGCATTGCTAGTAAGCTTAGGTGGCTTTGTGCTTTTGCTTACTAGCATGTGTAGAAGCTCCCTCGTTGCTTGAAGTACTAGTGGCATAGGTTTGTGTGACCTTACTTCTAGAACTGGTTAGGTGAGCTCTAGCTAGCTTGGCACCTTTTTTGTCTAATTAGGATCTTTATAAGGTGCTTGTGAACTTCGATAGAGAAGTGTAGTCTTGGCTAGACCGATAGTTTTAATTCCGCATTTATTTCGGTTAGATGGCGCGATTAGGTTTAAGAAATGACTATTCATCCCCCCCTCTAGTCCACCATCTAGACCCTAAAGAAGGACCGGATGCACCGATCCAGTCGTTGCTTGCAGCGTGCGCGGTCTTGTTGATCTGATGCAGGGCTGGCACGTCCGATCTCTTGATCGGTGCATCTGGTCCTTCTTTCACATGAGCGCGGGAGTGAACTGACCGTTGGAGATCGAGCAGCCATGGTTTAAACGGGGACACGTGTGAAAGCTCTAGTTTGGTTTTGGTAAATTGATAAAACCCTAAGTGCTAACCTAGTTTATCAAAGGTGATTATGAAATAGGTTGCACTAGTTCAAATGGTGGAGTAAATGAAGATCATGACATGATGATGGTGATGCCATGGTGATGATCAAGTGCTTGGACTTGAAAAGAAGAAAGAGAAAAACAAAAGGCTCAAGACAAAGGTATAAATGGTAGGAGTCAGTTTGTTTTAGTGATCGAGACACTTAGTGAGTGTGATCACATTTATGATCGA